TCATGGAAATGGATTAGCTTGTGCTATAATGGCTGCTCAACCATGGCACCCCTGCCGTCGTCCCCCAGAGAGACGATCTGCCGCGTGACGGGAGGCATGAAGGTGAAAGCGGACAGAGACGAGTCGTCTCCCTACGCAGCCATGCTGGCGGCCCAGGATGTGGCCCAGAGGTGCAAGGAACTGGGCATCACTGCCCTGCACATCAAGCTGAGAGCCACTGGGGGCAACAGGTGAGTCCTTCATGCGCACATCTAGTATGGCACTGAATTTCTACCTGCTTTTGAGGAAGCGGGAGAATCGCACGTCAGGTTCCTGTTTGCTGCTTTCTGTTTCTACGTTGATATTGATTTGGCCAGCAGGTGGCAGAGTAGTTACAGAACTGCCCATTAAAGGATAACTTTGTTGACATACACACTTAATTTGGGCTGCGTGCCTAAATATCCGGCTAGATAAATGTATGAGATGGGGGGGAAGTGTTTTGTGGAATAAAAGTCACACAATGGCCATTTCCCGTAGTTCTGCCACATTAACAGCGGTATTGTGCACAGAATACTGGCTTTAATGAGTAACAAATGAGTTCAGATCTGATAAACATAGTAAGTGATCTTTGCACGGTGGCTATTCCATTTTGTCCCTTTAATCCCCGATAGGGTGATGTTCTGCTAGTTTGCATTTGCATTTCTAGTGCTGTCTGAGTGTCAATAGCGGCCGTGATCCTCACAAACTTTTTCTCTGTTCCAAGAACCAAAACTCCAGGACCAGGTGCACAGTCAGCGCTACGCGCCTTGGCTCGTTCTGGCATGAAAATCGGCCGCATCGGTAAGGAACAGTGATGCGATTGGTTTTCCAAACACCCCCCCGCAAACAGCAAGGGTTAAACAAAGGCATCCGTGTTAAACAAAACAGTCTTTACAAGGGGAGCTTTTTCTTAGCTAATACTTAGTGGGAAAAGTCCAAAGAGGTTCTTGGTTTTAGCACAAACAAAGGCCGCACACAGACAGTTAGGTTTCACATTTGTCTGCGTCAGTAGCTCTGGTGGAACATTACACTGATTGAAAACAATGGACTTCACACTTCTTCAGTTTTTTTAAAGAACCGATTCTTGGAGGTATTTTCTGTTTTGATGCTTGTGCGCATACAGGTGCTATAGTGTTGGCATCGCCAAGTGTGCTGAACACCAGAGTGCTTGTCTTGGGGAGTCGCTGACTCTTCTGGGAGATGTGGCGGACCAGTGGTTTGCAATCCCGTTCCTGGTTCCCCCTCCCCCACGCCAGAATGTCTTCATTCCAACCTTATCTCAGTCGGGGTCAAATGGTCCATGAAAGGCTAATAATGAATGTGGCAGGTTGAAAACAGTGTGGATTGGAATGAAAGCATTCTGGCGTGGGGAAGGGGGCACCAGGAACAGGACTGAGAACCAATGGGGTGGACGTTTCACTGTTTGTGATGACGATGCTCATTATAGGGGGGATGTCATGTCTAACTGTTACCTTCCTGGGTCTCTCGCAGAGGATGTCACCCCGATTCCATCGGACAGCACCCGCAGGAAGGGCGGTCGCCGTGGCCGTCGTCTGTAAAGCTGTTCTCTGCTAATAAAAAGTCTAGTGCAGATGTTTTTGTGTTTTCTGTGTTTTGGCAGGGGGGGGGAGCTTTCAAGAGGAAAAGTCCCTTTTTAATACTGAAACTGTTGCTTTAGAGAATGGTAATATACAACAGTGAGATCAGGGGGCTGTATTGAGAAGCAGGATGATATGTCGTATTTACAGTCTGGGTTAATTGTACGTGAACAGACATAAAGTTCATTGAAAATGGACCTTAAGACCGAAAAGGTTAACTGGCTAAGCAAAGCCGGCTTTGTGACACAGGCCCCAGGTTCGCGATGAGTCTTGAGGTCAGAGTGTGTGGTCTCTCTGTCCTCCTCTGGCCGGCCCATCTCCCTGTCCTGGAGACATCTGGACTTCAGAATCAGTTTATTTTCCCCAGTGTTCTGACATCTGAGGGATTTATCGCGGGGAGATGCTGTCAGGCATGTGACAACACAGAGAATAGTGAATTTAAAACTTCAAATGATCACGAAAAAAAATATGATTACATCACAATACAAAGAATCCTATAAATGGTTAGAATAAGCCCATTCTGCTGTTTTATGAAAATAAAACCAGTGCTGAACAGTTCATTAAGTACAATGCTATGAAAAAGTATTTGCCTCCTTCCTGATTTCTTATTTTTATGCATATTTGTCACGCTTACATTTTTCAGTTCATCAAACAAATTTTAATATCAAAGATCCAGAGTAAATACAAAAATGCAAATTTTAAATGATGATGTCATTTACTATGGGATCAAAGCTATCCAAACCTACCTGGCCCTATGTGAAAAAGTGATTGCACTGGTGAAGCATGACTTAACTGTAATCAACCACAATTATTGGAAAGCTGAGTTCAATTTCATTAGCCTCACCCAGGCCTGATTACTGCCAGACCCGGTCAATCAAGAAATCACTGAAATAGAACTTGTCTGACAAAGTGAAGTAGGGTTAAAGATCTAAAAAAAATTTTTAAATGTAGCACATTATGCCACGAACTAAAGAATCTCAAGCACAAATGAGAAACAGTCATTAATATCTATCAGTCTGCAAAGGGTTACAGGGTCGTTTCTAAGGCTTTGGGGCTCCTGTGAACCGCAGTGAGACCCATTATCCACTGGACAAAACTTCTTGGAGGGTTTGTGTCCCATTACATCTGGCGTAAAACTAGCACAGCATTTCATATAAAGGACATCATACCAGTAGTCAAGCATGGCCGTGGTAGTGTGCTGGTCTGAGGCTGCTTTGCTGGGTCAGAACCTGGACGACTGGCTGTGATTGATGGAACCATGAATTCTGCTCTCTACCAGAAAATCCTGAAGGAGAATGTCCAGCCATCAGTTCGTGCCCTGAAACTCAAATGCACTTGGGTTATGCAGCAGGACAACGACCCAAAACACACCAGCAAGTCCACCTCAGAATGGCTAAAGAAAATCAAAATTAACGCTTCGGAGTGGCCTGGTCAAATGCCGGACTTAAATCCAACTGGGATGCTTTGGCATGACCTCAAACAGGCTGTTCATGCTCGAAAACCCTCCAATGTGGCTGAGTTGTTTCAATTCTGCAAAGCGACCTGCAGGACTCACTGCCGGTTATCGCAAACGCTTGATTGCGGTTCTTGCTGCCAAAGGTGGCCCAACCAGTTATTAGGTTTGGATAGATTTTCTTCCCTTAGTACATGACATCATCATTTAAAAAACTGCATTTTCTATTCACTCTGGTTATCTTTGTCTGATATTAAAAATTAGTTTGATCTGAAACATGTGTGACAAATATGCATAAAAAAAATTCATCAGCACTGTAAATTTTGTATAATTTTGTGTGATCTATAGATGTATGACACAAGATACACAAGATACCTAATTAATCTAATTAAATATCTTTTCAACAGCTCAAATCTCATCATACCGTCGGGTATTAGTAGCATTTGTTTCCCCAGCCCTCTGTATTATCAAAGACAGTGATTTGTACAGCAAACATTACATCCCTTTGTAAAGTTCAGCATTGTGTGATTTTAAAAAGTATTGCGATGCTCACATTTCAAGTAGCTGCCCAAGATTATCTGCATTGTCAAAGTTGCACAGATTCAGTTTTTAAATAACTCTTTTGCCAGTAGACATACTTCCGTTTACTGTACATGAACATGTCGTTGAACATGTGAAACTAAATCCAATAGGGAAGTGCTATGAAAATCGTACGAGGGGGAACACCCTGAACAAGTGATTTGCTGTGACTATTCAGTGCTGTTTCTGTTGTTTAAATGCAGTTTTATTTGTCACATTTGGGCTGATGTTTCAGTCCCTTGTAAATAGCATCTGGCCTAAACGTAGAGTATCCTAAAGACGTCTGGCCCAGAGTTTAAACAGGGTTAATACCCTGTTGTTTAATGAAATTAATGCAAGACATTTTTTTTTTTTAAATAAATCTCCTATCAGTCATCTAACCACTTATTGCTGTCAGAGTCATGGGGAATTTAGGAATTTAATAAAAGCTGTATTCTTTTATCGGATCTGTGGCTGGATCTAGCGGATACAAAGAGTGTATAAGAAAAGAATAGAACAGAACAGAAGCTGAATTGTCATTGTTTACTAAATACACAACAACAGTAGGAGCGATGATCCTGTTCAGTGCAATAAAAGAAAAAGAAAAAGAATCATTATGCATGATAAGAAAATGTCTGAATGTCAGTGTGGTGTGATTTCACATCCCTTTTTAAGGTGCACCATGACTACGTCCACTAGCATTTTGGCTGGTTGGGGGGTTTCCAGGTACTGCCACTCTGTCTTATCTGTCTCGGTTAGATTTTCGCCGGCGATTTGTAAGCATTGGGAAATCCAGAGCCCCCCGAATGAAACAGGAACTATTTTCAGGATCATTCGTGTCATGAATATCACTATAAATGGAATATCCATCAAACATTTATACGAACCACTACAAATATGTACGGCTTTATTACAAAGGGAGGTTGCTACAGTATGTTGAAATTATTTTGTAAATGTAATCAATCTGAAATAATTTGTAAAAGACAGTATTTTGGTTTGCTACCATCTATATGCTTCCACTGCCTACTCCTCAACAGGCCTAATTCACAATTAAACAATTAATTTAAATTAACCACGTTTAAAGATCACCAGAACTAGTTTCAGTGAAACACTTTCTAATCCCGGAAGTGACGCTTTTTGGCTCACTGGATTAAGGCAGGGGTCTCCAACTCCGGTCCTGGAGAGCTACCGTCCAGTAGGTTTTCTATCCTACCTGGCCTCTGATGAGCCACACCTGTTCTCAGGTAAATACCAGGGCCAGGTGTGACTCATCAGAAGCAAAGTGGGACAGAAAACCTACTGGATAGTAGCTCTCCAGGACCGGAGTTGGAGACCCCTGGATTAAGGGCACTCTACCTGTGATCAGTCTACTTTTGGCATTTTCCTATATGAACTCATTTAAAATCAGTAAGATGTGGGCTTTAGCATTTTCACAGAGGCGCGAGGTTAGCTGCACAACATCATGACAATAAAATAAAATCTAATTACAATGTTTTATTTGGGTTGCATAACAGTTCCTGCATTTTTAGTCTGTGTGCCACATGTAGCGCTGTAAAATAATGGTTTCTATGATCTATTTCTTACGGAAGAGGATTAGGGTCACCATGAACATATTATTTGAATTCTGACTTTTTCTCAGAATTCTGACTTTAATCTCAGAATTCTGACTTTTTTTTCTAAACTCAGAATTCTGAGATTAAAGTCAGAATTCTGAGGAAAAAAAAGTCAGAATTCTGAGAAAAAAAGTCAGAATTCTGAGAAAAAAGTCAGAATATTATCTGACATAATATTTTCATGGTGGCCCTAATCCTCTTTGGTTTTATTTACGTTTATCAAAAATAAAATTAGCGATACACAGCTGAAGAGTCTCTCAGGTTCAGCCTCCGTGTCAATAGGTGACGCCGGCAGGGAGGACCAATAAAATAAAGCGCTGAGACGAGCCCCGCCCCCTTTCGACTTTCCCTTTTTACGCCCATTTAAGCCGCGCGCCCGAGGCGGAGGCCACTCAATTTCCAGACCGAAGCGAAGGAGACGAAACGGACGATGGCTGAGTCTCACAATGAGCCGCTCATCCCGCATCCCGGGGAGCAAACTATCATCGGCATGAGCGACCCCGAGAGGTAATGCGCTAATCACCTTACCTTTTCTTTATCGTTTCTTATTCAATAATATCAGTTAATTAACATTTGTCATTATGATTATTATTACTACTACTACTACTAATAATAATAATAATGTGGTGGTTGTTTTTGTAAGTGTTGCTAATGGATATTAAATAATAATAATAATAATATAATAATAATAATAATCTGATCTTCTCAAATGAGTAAATGTTAAGTACTTTCAAGTAGTATATTGGAATTATTTAAGAAATATACTGCGTATCATATTTCTTAAACATGCCTGACTCCAACATCCTAATGCCCAAACAATTCAACTTGCATTAGTACAAGAAAAAAAAAGAAGTTTACTTTAATAACCCGCGATGGTTTCTGGGGAATTTTGTGCATAATTTCAGGTGTTTTCTGTTCTGCTTTTTATTCGGAGAAGTTGACGCTTCAGTGGAGACATCTGCCTAGTAACTAGTGACGACGGTCTCCGAAAGTTTTACTTCTGAAAAGAAATCAATGCAATAATAATAATAATAATAATAATAATAACTTGCAGCTAACTCAGCTTAAACGAATAATAATTATTATAATTATCCGTATTATTATTATTATTATTATTATTAATTATTATTATTATTATTGGGGGCGACATGGTGGTGCAGTGATTAGCACTGTTGCCTCACACCTCTGGGACCTGGGTTCAGGTCCCCGCCTGGGTTACATGTGTGTGGAGTTTGCATGTTCTCCTTGTGTCACCTCCACACACTCCAGTTTCCCCCCACAGCCCAAAGACACACCATAGGTGTGCATGTGTGAGTGAACAGTGTGTGAGTGTGTCCTGCGATGGGCTGGCCCCCTGTCCAGGGTTGTTCCCTGCCTCCCAGAGGAAAATGGATGGATGGATGGATTATTATTATTAGGATTATTATTATCATTATTAGTTATTACATGTACAGATATTACAAAAGCTTTTATTTAATTGTATTTAAAATGTTTTCACAACATAATGCACGTTTTGGTTTTAAACAGCTTGACCACACATCCTTATAACCAAATGTCACTGTCACTGTCACGGCTGTGCCCCAACAGAGACTCCAATCGGAAGGCGTTCAAGGTGGCGGGCTTCACCGTGCTGGCCTGCCTGCTCATCGCCGGCCAGGCTCTCACCGCTTACTTCGTCCTGAGCCAGAAGAGCAGGCTGGGCGACATCGAGCAGAGCAACGAGGCCCTGAGAAAGCAGCTGCTTCACCAGACTGGAGGTGATGCCTTTCTCAATTCTCAGCATGAGCTTCTGATTCCAACCGTCTCGAGCGATTAAGAAGAACTTACATTTTACTCTTGAGTCTTCTAAATTTGATTTTCTGTTTCAGGATCTTCTGGAACCAAGAGGATCAATGTTCCCATTCACAGCATGCCCGGGATGGTGTACGATGACGTGAAGCCTGACAGCGACAAAGTTAGTCGCTCACCTTTTCTCTACTAGTAACTGCACCTGACCACTGGGTGGCAGTATTTCAGAGAAAATAACTGCAATCAGTACCTGACCACTAGGTGGCAGTATTTCAGAGAAAATAACTGCAATCAGTACCTAACCACTAGGTGGCAGTATTTCAGAGAGAAAAAAAAATACTGTGACAAGGCTTTGTTGCTTCTAACTTGATCTAAATTCACACAGTGTCTCGTTTGCATTTCAGGGCCCTTCCCTCAATCCCATGACAGGTATTTCAGCGGCTCTGCACACACACACACAAACATGCTCACTGATATAGCGCCGGGTGTGTGTCTGATGTTACAATCTCTTCTTCGAAGGATTCAAGTGTAAGAACAGCTCCTCCAACCTGCCGGGTTTCCAGCCTGTTTGTGATGAAGAGGGTAATTATCGCCCCATGCAGTGCTGGATGGACGTGTGCTGGTGCGTGGACAGCAATGGCACTGAAATTGCCGACTCTAGGACAACGGGGAGAGCACAGTGTGGAGAAGCGCAAGGTAAACAGAACCTCCAAACCACCCACTTCTGTAGAAATTTCTGCATATAACCGGCAAATATTATATGGTACAGGTAACATGTCACTGCATCAAACGACCGTCTGTTCTTTCTCTTGGTGAGAGAGCTGTAATCTTTTCTCTCTTGCTTCCTTTGTCAGGCCCACGTGACGTAAGGGACATATCCAGCATGGAAGAACTGTCTGGTGATTATTCTAGTCGCCAGTTTTAAATTAAATGCAGTACAAATTATTTTTGCTCAAGAGCATGAGTATTTATTACAGTCTACCACCTTTTTTTCTAGATCAGTAAAAATTGCCATGCTGTGACAGAAAGAGGCAAATCCACTGTTATCATCTGCAGCTAAGATCTTTATCCTGAAGCAAAAATTAATCGACTGAGATCAGCGCTTTAAGCATGTTTGACCTTTCTGGTGGAAGACATTTTCAAGTTCTTGCAAGAGTACTAACTTCTACTTGGTAGATTTTGTAATTAAAATCTGACCGGAACTTTTTTGGAAACTTTTTTTCTGGTATAGCATCGCTGACTTGATCTGAAGTAGATATAGGCAGTGTGGGTAATTTTTTGCATGTGACTCTCAATTGGCTGATGCTAAGTGAGTTTTTAATTCGACATTCCATCCAAAAATTTATTGGGATTTTTTTGTTCTGTTTTTATAATGATAAGAACTGTTTTATGCACTTTCTAAGGCCGTAATTTTGTGATAATGTCAATTATCAATGATATGAGAAACTGTAAGTGTGAAAAGCCCAACAATTAAATAAACTTCTAAGCTTTTTCTAACAGAGTAAATCTTCTCGACTGTCATTTTCCTTTTGCAAAATGTTGCGTCCAATCCAGTATTTCTTTGAATCTTTAAATATGGTATGTGGACAGAAAATAATGAGTCCAAAACATTTGCTGCTCATTGATATTTAGCCTATAAATAATGTGAGCAGGCCTGTCTCTGAATGGGGGGGGGGGGGTGGTGAACAATTCAACTTATTTGAGGGCCCAACTGAGGCCAACATAAGCCAGGTAATGGAAATCACAGCGCCTGCTACTGCTTGGTCATGGTAATACAGATGCAATTATAATGAAGGATAATAACTCACTGATCGCTCACCGTCTACAGCATGACCTTTCTGGACTTTCAGGCAGCAGATTCTCTGGTTGAGTCTCCGCAATCCAGGGCTGAAGCGACATGCTTCTCAACAGTCAGCATTGCAAGTAGACACAATCTCTCCCGAGACAGGCATGTTCTCAAGTGGTAAACAATTAGCTAGCTAGCTGCCAAAGAACTATTTAAAAACATTATTTAGCTTATTATTATCTAGGCAAGTTTCCCCTTTGTACGGAACCCCCAAGAGGATGGGGCCTGCAGGGGGTGGGGCTTCCTAGAGGGTGGGGCCTCATAGGGGGTGGGGCTACCTAAAGGGAGAGGCCTAGTGTGGCCACACTGGTTGCACTAGTTTCATACATTAGTATGTATGGAAAAAAAGCAAAAGATTAAGAACATAATGTTCTCTCATAAACCACATGCACTGCGTGTAGAGTCACCAAGAGCCTGGAGCCTGAAACTGCAGATGGGGACGCAGAGAGCTGAGAGACACCGATCCACCCGAACACGGCGACTGCACACTCCCAGGGCTGGGGGCGGGGATCACAGCCCCCGGCCTCAAAGGTGTGAGGCTACAGTGCTACCAGCGCCAAGCCAAACCTATTTTATATTCCCCCACCACACACACACGGAGCTTCGGTGATAAACATGAGTGCCGTACAACTCCAGGTCTTTTGTTTCAAATAATATTATCTCATGGTCTTTGACCTTCAGCGTTTCATTGCAATAGCCGTGTAGCACGGCTTCTGTGGAGAGGAAGAGTTGAAAATCTGTAACTTGTTCAAACCCAGTACTGACTGAGCAGGTAGTTAAAATGTAATCACTGCCCAGAACTCCTTTCATTAGCGCTAAAAGCTTGTGGTGTGACTGGCACCCAACCCCATGCCAGGAAAGTACCGGGAATCATCTAAAGATCTCAGAAGATCTCAGATGCAGCTTGAGGGCAGGAGGAGCTGGAACGGCAGGAATCACAGACCCTAACTGGAAGGTCGCTCCAAACCAGAGCGGTCTGTAGCTCTGTGGGTTAAGAATCCATGCCTCTGGTAGGAAAGTTGCTGGTTCGCATCCCATTGCTGCCAGACTGATTTCACCACTGGGCCCTCGAGCAAGGCCTGTAATCTGCAGGGGTGGGCCGATCCTGCTCGCTGAAATGTGCGCTGCTTTGGACAAAAACATATGTAAAATAAATAAATGTAAAGATTTAATGCTAATGAATAAACAGGAGAGTAAGTGGGGAAAAAGGTTGGGTGAGAACATACTGCAGGAACGCAAATGTCATTATGATGGTGTGTGTACACTGTTATATTAAGGTTCAGGTTAACAAGACCAACGCAAGCTGTGGTTTGTACAGAATCCTCAGTTTCCCTGAAGAGATTCGCTACACAAGTACTTTATGTTTTGGTTACACTGTAGTTGAACATTTACTCTGTTATTCTCAGAGGGCCACGTTCCTGCTGCGGTAAACCACGACCGAATGGAATCGCCCGTTACTGTCAGCCATCATGTACGCCGGTAACTTCACAACATCACTGGAAATCAGCAGTGCCAGCTGCCACTGCCCCTCTCCTTTGACTGCCAGGCGTAGCTAAGGATTAAGGGCATGAAGAGGTCTCTCCAGTGAAGAATTAAGGTATTTGTTACGCGTCCACCTGTGAAAGATGCTATAACAGGCAAACTGCGATATGAACCTGGAAACCATAATGCATCTAAATGGGAATTAATGCCACCGTTTCTTACAAATGACTCCAAAAATGTGATGGTACATCGTGCAAATCTTCCCTGACAAATATGGACCTGTCCAGAAGCCACGTATTTTGCTCGACTGTATTTACTAATTGTGGACTTTATCCTCTATCCATCCTCTGTACCAGGGTTCTTCAAATCTGGACCTCGATTTCAAATCCAGGCCGTGTTTTCAGGTCTCCCAGGTAGTTAGTTTAATAATTACTGATTCTGATTGGTCAGAGGCTTCACACCTGGCTCACAGAGGGGCTGGAGCCTATGAGCAGGGAATAACCCAGGATGGGACGCCAACCCACAGTGGGCTGCACTCACACACCACTCACACTTACAGGCAATCTGGCCGCTCCAGTTCAGCTTAGTGTGTTTTTGGACTGGGGCGAGAAACTGAAGCATTACATTGAAAATGAAAAAAATGCATATGACCAAAATTTAGATAATGCTGTTCAACTTTATAGGCTGTAATACATGTAAAAGTGCTTATGATACAAAAACAAGGAGCAAACAGCGAAAGGCGTGCAGACGGAAACGTGACGGACGAAAGCGGGCAGCCAAAGGTATAACGTGACGGGGACGCGGGCCATGCCTTTGGTGCTGCTCGGAAACAGCCGGAAGATCCCTGCTGGGCCCCTCCCACAGCCATTCCAGGCTGGAGGTCCCACAGGCATAATCTGCTACGGGCATCAAGTCCGGCAGTGACAGAGACCTGGCTTTCGAACATCTTTATCCATTACGCTAAGTGCTTATCCCTAATATTGTATCTGCGAGGACCAGACTGCCGCCGGCATCTTATTGACCAGAGGAGCATGAGGCCGCAATGCCAGGGAGTATTAAGGGGCCAATGATTAATAATCTGAGGAGTGCATGGGGGGGGGGTAGAAAGGAGATTGATTCCCCCATTGATCACCATTTCCAGCGATCTGCTGTTCCCATGCCGATGGAACCAAAACCTAGGCCCTATATATCAGCTCTCAAATAGACATACGGGAAATGCAGTAAGACCGCCCCCCCCCCTCCCCCAACCACACCCCCTCCGCTCTCGATGGAGCGATGAAAGGCACCAAGCAGGCTTGATTGTCCCGATGGCTTAACGAGCACGTTTTGGTTGTCATTAAGCAGAAAATGTCCGTAAACAAACACTCAATCAGCAGCTGCACACCACAATGACAATGAAAACCTAATTCCAGCAAAACATAATATGGCCGTAGATATATAATATGGCCGTAGATATATAATATGGCCGTATATATATCCGGAAGTGAAACACCACGCCACATTCAGAAACACAAAATAAAGCCAGTCTGGTTTGCCACTTTGAGTGGACCATGTCCTTTGTTTTAAGTGAAAAGCATTCCTGTATTATATATTTTTAAATTTTCATAGTGTATGAGGTCGGGGGGGGGTTTATTCCAGTTGACGGATTTTCTCCAGCATCAGGACAGACAGGCATAATGACGTGTTTGTCTGCCTTTCTCGTTTTCCTTTTTTCCCCCAACAGAGAAAACATCATTTTGGTCCTTTCTTGAGGGACTGAAAGTACTCTTTCAGGGTTCTCTCGATGTTGGGCACGTCGAAGTTTTGCGCAACGTACATCCCAGTGCAGGTGCCCAGGACGACGCCCAGGATGGCGGTGGATCGGAGCCTGGACACGATGTAGCCCGCCACGAAGCCCTTGAGAAACGGCGACTGCAGCAGACTGCCACCCTGTCACGCCACAGATAATCCAGCAGGGGGCATGGTGGTTAAGAACATGGTTGTTGTACCGTCATAATGTTGTAGCCTCAAACAAAAATCTTTAATGATTTTAAATGAGTAAATCTGTGAGTTACTTTTTAAAAACTATTAGAACACAATAAGAATAAGAATAACAACAATAACAATAACAATGAAATATGATAGGCTATCCATCCATCCATCCATCCATCTCCTGAAACGCCTGCCCTGTTCGGGGTCACCAGGCTTCAGGAACCTATCCCAGAGGTTACAGGCAATAACCCAGGAAGGGGCGCCAACCTATTCCAGGAGTCTAGATATCATAGCAGGTAACGGACCTGGGGGATTCCTGCCTGCACCTCGTTCTCCACCTTCTTCTGGATGCCTTCCAGCTGGTCTTTCAGAGACGCAAGATCTTTCAGCTGCTTCAGAGGATCCTAGTAGCAGAGGCAAAAGTGCCGAGAATAGATTAACTCGTCTTTTGCAGTTAAACTCCCGAGTTACTGTCACCCGGATGAACAAATGAAGCGTTTGCAAACGAAGTCATTTACTGGTGCACCGGTGTGGAAGTTACACTAAGAAAGCGGCAGACGTCGAGCGACTTTTAAGGGGATCCATATGCATGCCGATTCGGTTCGCAGAACCGATATGCTGTCTGGATCGTAGGAACCGAATTTGGGGAACGAAATCAAGCGACAAAGCAGCAGGTCACACAAAACGTCTCTTTCCCGAACATTCATATAATACTGCTTACTGACTGTATGAAGCCTTTCAATCAATCCGCGAGAAAATAAATACGAACATGCCGCTTATTCAACGCGTAAATGGATCAAAATGAAACAACTGCATAACTCGTATTTTGCTTCCGCTTGTATCGCCCTCTTTTGCTGTCTTACCGCATTATAAGCCGCATTAGCCCGAAAACATTCTAGTCCGGTAGTTAAAGTTTGTTCAGCCTCTCCTGCGGGTGATCAGAAACGTATAAAAGCACCGGCATACTGGAAATACAATCAGTATCACCCCCGATAGCTGGAGTGACCTTTCAACATATAAATACTGGGAAGACATTCACCTTGTCATTCGCCATGTTTATTCGTAAGGCAGGGTATGAGCGTTGGTCTGCGCCGGGAGAGCTGCGCACCACAGCGGCCTCTGCCTGCCGGCTCCGCGGCGTCACCAGCCGGATCCTCCCCTCCCAGGGTGCCGCTTCTCTACCGTGCCGTTCGTTTCTGTTCTTAAAATGAAATGCAATGTGTCAGGGTCACATTGGTTAATCTATTTTTTATCACAACTATATAGAAATTTAAATTTAATAATTTTTAAATGATTATTTTTTTACCTTTTGAAATATAAAATTCTTGTTCTTATTAAATAATGTACAATTACCATCGTACATCCTGCACGCGATAAGCGGTTAGGTAAGATTATTGATATACACAATATTTTGCTAGGCCTATTTTAGGAGGGCATTTATATTTAAAACATATCTGTAGTATAATACAAGAATATTTCAGATAATCATATAGGCCTGTTCATACATTTATATGAACTGTTTTATTGCCAATTTGGAACTTTGGGCTGAAATGCAAGAAAAGAGGATACCGGATTTCTGAAAGAATTCGGGAAGTTTGAAATAGCGTAGAATGTCTACATTAACTGCATAAGAATATGAAAATATGATTTTATTTTTTGAGAAACACCCAGATATAGAGTCTAAATCCATTTTAAACGAATTATCTGTTAAGGACATGATTAAAATGTAATCACTAAACAATCAGATCATTTCGTGAAGTACATGAGTGAATGTGACAGACAGTTCACTTCAGTTCACGTTCAGAAACAAAATGACAGTCGCTTAAGCAGTGTATATATGGCACGTTTTATTACCAAAGACCTCCATCAAGTGATTATTACTGCTGCTCTTAGGGGTACCGGAAATAAATCTCAGTTCTTGCTGATGAGCTTGGATAAGAACAAAGAATGCAGTGTACAGTCTGGCTGGTCTGTGCAGAAGTCGGAAGCGACACATCGATCCTGAAACTCGCATTCTCACCGCTCGGCAGCGAGCGGCTGTTTGAGGACAGAGGGCAGGTTCTGCAGGCGCGACAGGGGAGAGAAGGCCTGCATGAACGTGTTTCCTCTTCTTTCTGGATGCTAACTGGAAAAATCTGATGCACAGGAGATTGGTAAATGTCAGCACGCCACAGACAACAGTCTGGTGTACTGATACCTACATTTTCTGTAATTCCATCCAGCTAGATGATGCTTTAAACTATTAAAGAGTAACCAAGCAGTCACCAAAGAAATCTTTAAAACATTATGCAAAATAATTTCTTTGTGTTAGCTAGTATACTTTATTAGCAAAAGCCCGTATTAAATGATTAATTGTTTTTAATGTTAATACATTTCCTATTGGATTCATTTCTGAGTGGGTCTTAAGTTCCTCTAACCTCATAACACCCAGCAAATATGATTTTTTTTTCTGCATTTACTGTAAACATGCCATATATTTGGTATTTACCGAAAATATGTAATGAGTATTCTATAACATGGGTGCTACATATCCTCTATGCCTGACTGTAATGTTTCCTTGATTTATAAGGACCCATCCAATGATCCCGGAAGGAAACGTGCGACCCGGCTCTCTGTTGCCATGGCAACACTCCAGGGTAGCATAAGAATGCTGCAGACAGGCAGAGGGATGTGAAAACCATCCGGATGTGACTGTTGGTTAAGGTGGACCGGCGGGAGATGTGGAGAGGATGCCGTACTCTCCCTGTCGTTCACTGCCAGCACACCGTTGAATGCTTGGGTTTCGTGTTTGAAGACGGTTCTGTGCAGAAATCTCCGATTCTGTAAAGCTTTACTGCAAAGCAAGAAGCAGAGGCTCAAAAAGACAGTGCAACTGAAATGTGTGATCAGAAAGTAACAGTCTTATTTTTATTTTCCCACAAGATTTTTCTGTATTTTATTAATGTAGTTTTCATAAAAAATGTCCTCATATTAGAAGATAGATCACACGTGAAAAATCACATTCCGAGTTATATTTAATAATTTATCAGGCTTGTAAAACTCTATCACTTTAAATAAATATTGCATTCGAACATTAATCTATTTTGAAATAATATCTTTTAAGCATTGCATGCACTTCCACCATGTGCAGTTCATGTTTTGGAATGACTAGGAATTTTAAAACCGGTAAAACCTAAACACGAATGTATCAGACTTGAGAGTAGACATCCGTAGCACTGCGTAGGCTGGAACATAAGGAACCCCTTGCTGAGCAGACCGCATTTGTCCTCACTTGTCCTCGCGGTTTGATTGACTGAGCTGTCTGCTTTTTTGAATGGCTCCTACCATGCTGCTAATCTCACAATCAGTCCTCCGACATAGGGGAACACAATGAAATCCCCATTTAAACAAACTGTTCAATAAACGAGTATTGGTTCTATGCGCCTCTAGTGCAATAGGATGCTTGCAAGCGTTTCTATGTAAATTACAATAATTATAATGCATACTGGATAGTACTTGTACTGTATGTAAACATTCATACGATTAATACATTGGTTTCGATTAGCTCGCTCTCTCTCTGTGTATGTGTGTGTATGTGTGTGTTTGCGTGTGCGTGCGGGGGGGGGGGGTACACAGCCATCCTTAAAACACACAGAACAACGGGAGGACAAAAGAGGCAAACGGAGGGGGGTGAGAGAGAATGAAGGAGCCGCGGACATCACTGATGAAAACGCGGGCATGATGAGATGAGAGGTGAGCGGACTGCAGGCTCCCAGCCACGGCGGAACGACAGGGTAGGTTCAGCGTGTACCTCGGACAGCTTGTTTTAATTGCATAGAGCCATCAGCATGATTCTGTGTCTTGGAGGGGGGGTTGATGTGAGAGTGGTGGGGGAGGGAAATGGCAGGGGGATATGGGTAGAGAGGGAGAGTGAAGCGGAGTTGTGATCCCCTCGGCACGCGAGCGCAGGGCCGGATCAGCAGCACGGCGGCGATGCGTTGAAGCGAAACTGACCGCTGCGGTTCCTGGAGCATCTTTCACCATGCTGGGGAAGGACTATATGCTGGCCATCATCATCGTCAACTATAACGGTAAATGTCACGCCGTCCTAAGCGTGCACACGTTAATTATGATTATTATTATCATGATTATTATTATTATTATTAAATCACCCTTGAGACGTGACGCTCTGCTCTCTCCCGCAAGACTCTCATCCTCGGCGGCTTTTCCGTCTGTCAGCGAAGGAGGTGTGAGGAGCCGGAAGCCAGAGCTCCGACCTTGTGTTAGAAACTCCATCACATTGTCGTATCTTGCGTTCTTTTTTGCTCTGTCTGTTTATTTCTTGACTTGGTAGCAGTTGCCGTTATTATTATCGTTGCGGTGATTATTTTTGCAAAAAATGTATTGGAAATTATTATTATTATTATTATTATTATTATTATAAATAAGGTACTAGCACCCAGAACCACCAATAATTCAGGAAAAATTTAAATCTCAGTCACAAATTAAGTTAAATTGAGAGACATTATCTGAATCTATCCATCCATCGTTGGTTGGAATGAGCATCTTTGCGGTGTAATATGCAGGATGGCCAGTGTTCGCCAATCAGAGCTTCAAAAAGTGCCCTTCAAGGAACAAGGGATCCTCACTTAGCCGAAACATGTGTTTAGCATTAATCTGTCAGTACAGACTGCGCGTGGACTCTGTGGTTAATGCACGTGCACCAGGAAGACGATGCAAACACCAGGAAAGAGACAAATAAATATACTGTACAGTGATTTTCATCATTCTGTGATGATATATCCATCCATCCATCCATCCATCCATTTTCTGTGGTTCTGCATTGCAAAAGGGAGAAAGTGAAGAAATGCATTTTCATTTGCCTGTCTTATCAACACAGACATTTTAAATACGTTTTACATGAACCAAAAAGATACATTCGCACAAGCGAATTTCAATCTACTGTCGCTAATTAATTTGCACTGTAACCAGCAGGCACTCGGGGCACCGACAGCTGAGTGAAGAAGTGCCTTTACTGATGAAATTGGAGCTGTATTCTGCCGGGGATTATCTACCCGTATCTTAGAGCATTAAGGGGGTGCATCAGTTCAGTGTAGCTGTAGGCGGTGCTCAGTACTGCAAACAACTGTATTAATGATTAGCGCTGTCTAGTTTAGAGAGTTAATTGTGCCAGTCTTGCAATTACTCTGCTCCATACCTCAGATTTTGATTTAATTTGCTTGATTTGATGTTTTAAAATTCCATAGCATGGGAAATGAAAGTGACGGCCAGTGGTCATGTGACTCTTTGACATCACTGGGAAATAGTAGTGTGATGCTACTGGATAACATACAGAGCCGCTGGGATTGTTTATATTGGCGTGCATGAGGAATGAGAGCCAGCACGTCTTTCTCGTCAGCGTACTTTTCAGGTGCATCACGTTATTTGTTGGTATGCTTGCACACTCATACACACTCATACATATGCACACGCACTTGTACACAGTCATACATACACACACACATTCATAAACACGCACTTGTACACACTTATACATACACACACGCACTTGTACACACTCATACACACGCACACGTACACACTCATACACACGCACTTGTACACACTCATACATACACACACGCATTCATAAACACGCACTTGTACACACTCATACATACACACACACACTTGTACACACTCATACACACGCACACGTACACACTCATACACACGCACTTGTACACACTCATACATACACACACGCACTCATAAACACGCACTTGTACACACTCATACATACACACACGCACTTGTACACACTCATACACACTCATACACACGCACTTGTACACACTCATACATACACACACGCACTTGTACACACTCATACACACGCACTTGTACACACTCATACATACACACATGCACTTGTACACACTCATACACACTCACTTGTACACACTCATACATACACACACGCACTTGTACACACTAATACATACACACACGCACTCGTACACCATCATACACATGCACTCTTACACATTCATACACACACACTCATACACACACACACTCATACACGCACATGCATTAATAAAACACATAAGTGCTCAGGCATATTGCTAAATGTACCAGGAGTCACAGAGAATCAAAACTGTACAAGTGTAATGCAATATAATTGCTCTTTCTAGAGTTTAATGGAGTGATATCATTACTTGTACTAGTGTATATTATGGTCAATTAATAATATGATACATTAATAATGACATACAGTGTTAGACAAAGGGATTGCCTAGAGCATGATGGCGGGAGGAAGCATGAGTTGAAGAGCCAGAAGAGACGGTCATTAGAGGATGATTCACACAGTATCCATGTGATTGTGTAACATCACAGCTCGTCAGTTAAAAACAGCTGCCCTGGTCTGACTCTCAGTCAGCAGCTCTTCTGAACAAAATGAACAAACATGCCATGCAGATGCATGAATGGAATGCAGTACAACTGACTCATGTGATTATATAGCTTGTTTTATTTTTAGCCAGGTGAGAATCTTCACGTCGGGTTAATACATCCGGACAATGCGGACTTGCAGTGGCAAGCAGACTTGTGCATATTGCTTAACCAAACGATTTGCGTATTCTCTCACTTTCACTGTAAGTATATCAGTTGCATTTGTTTCATTTCACTAAATGCAGGGTGCTTTGAGAATTTTCACTTAGGACTGAGTAAAGAACCAGAGACACTTTGGTGACTGTTGATATGGACAGCAGGTGGCGTAGTGAGTAAAGGACATTGGGGTTAGGGTTGAGGGTTAGGGTTAGGGTTGAGGGTTAGCCTACTATTCCATTCCAGCAAAGAGCCCAACCGTGTTTCCCCAGAATTGGGCAAAGCTTAAATCAAACCGGCCAATATGGCCACAAGTGTACGGACACCAGCTTGTCCAACATCTCATTTATAAAACAAAGGGCATTAATATGAAAGTGATCCACCATTTGTTGCTATAACAGCCTGTACTTCTCTGGGAAGGCTTTCCATTAGGTGCTGGTGGGATTTGCTTCCATTCAGGTTGGGTATTGATGTCGGGTGATCAGGTTCCTCTCTGTGAGCTTGTGTGGCCGACGGCTTCGCGATCTAAACCTGCTCCCAGATGTTTCCATCCACAAACACTTCACTTGGATTTGACCAAGGCAGCAGTAGCGGGGTAGACGTTTGACGGACTGACGTTGGAAAGATGGAATCCTATGATGGCGCCAAGTTGAATGTCATTAACCTTTTCCGCTTCCGGTGTTGGCTGCTGGAGATTGGCTGTGTCAGCAGTGGGCGTGGCTTCATTAGTCCATATACTTTTCAGCCATATAGCATGCATAAATAAATACTATGAGTTGTACTACTCATATATGGATGAGTAGTACAACTGAATATTGTACATGTTTATTTCAGAATACTGTCCTATTGTGTTTGTCTGGTGTGACCCTATTTCCATGAGACATACAATTTTTCAGCCCCTGTGTGAAGGAATCCCCAGTTGAGCTTGTTGTGGTGTCAAAGTGTTTTCGGAATTAGCATTGCGAAGGGGAGGGACCTTTGCTCATCATCCAGCTGTTGACAACCCACCCCAACAGGTCCAGGATCAGCACTGTACCTCAGCCAGCTAGTTACGTTGGCTATTATGGACCCCAGTAACATGCTGCTGATAAACAGGTATCAGTGAGTTAACATTGTTTTTGATTGATTGAACATAGCAATCCCATCCTTTTTCCTGCACCTGAGTCTGATGTTATTGTACAGACAGTATTCTAAGCTCCTACAATAATGTCATTCTGTAAGTCGTTCCCTCGAGTGGCTGAGCCAAGGTGATTATCGTAATAAAGATTAATAGCTTATGAGTCACTTCTACATAAAAGACTCTCTCGATGCCAAAGTTGCTGATTACACTGCAGGTGTCTTCCTATAAGGCAGTACGAGGCGAACTTTCTGACAGACTGGACTAAAACGAAACCACACAGCCTTCTGGACAAAAGGTTTTCATTGACAATGCATGTTTTAGAAACGGTGAGTTAGCATGCCATCGGTTATGAAAACTCACTGGGAAGTTGTCATCGTACAATTTCCATATGAAGTTTTCGCTGTCCATGGCTGTCCTCATATTTGCCTGCAAACAAATGTTGCATTTTTTTCATCCTTTGATCCATGAATGCTGTGAAGAAATAATGCTGGCTTTGTGGTTCTGGAAGCCTAAAAATGCAGTGTGCCAGGGTCTGGTCCAATCTGGAAGCAGTAAATGGATGGTCTGGTCCTGGTCCAGTGCAGAACAGTGAGTACAGTGACCTGGTTTCTATCCAGGAGCAGACTATCCAGTATGAGCTCCACCTCACTGCTTTTGTCCCAGCCGCCGTGGACAATGGGGGATTGTGAGAAAAGCCCCCCCTCTCCTTCCTTTTTGGACAGGTTTTGTCAAACAGGCTGCTTTCAGAACCTGCACCACTTCCATATAATTAGCTGCGACGTAATCAAAATGCTTGTTAGAATTTGCTCGAATTAATTGTGGAAGAAGCACAATAAATATATGATACAAAATCAAAAATGACAGTCTTACGACGATTTACGCCTGATCAAGTCAAATTCGATTGGATTTACGTCCAAGACCCATAGTAAATTATAAACACTGATGGAAAGACGACTGAAATCGGACGCAGTAGGACATTAGTGGGCATATCGCTTAGTGTAACATGTACAGGAGAATGAGCAGCACTGCCAGCTGTATAATGACCCACTGTCAAATCTAACTGTATACAGTATGCATACAGTGATGTCTATGTGACGGACAGCTACAACATCGAGGGACGCCCATATTGACTTGTGTCCAGGTGTCTCTGCGCCAAATGCAAACACAAGTCAACCCAAGGCTGTAGTTATAGAGGGTGTTGGAAGTATGTAATAATTTTGTTGTTTACACGTGAAAAACCATAGCTGGCAAAAACTGGACAGCAACAACTGACCGATACAGATTAACTCCATAGTCGGCACTAAACACACCTTCACATAGATGGGATCAGATTAACTGAGGAGAAAATTTTGATTTGAGATGTAAATGGATGTGGCTACGGATGCTGAACGCTGTCGAGTCACTGATGGAGTAAACTTCTGCCTGTTCGAATCTCCACATCTCCAAGAGAACAAAGTTAACAAGCGCCTTGAGTCCTACAGATCTGCTTAGAGCTTCTGCTGTGTTCTCGGACTGGATTTATTAGGTGGTATAGTTGCTTACATCTTCTACAAAAACACGATCCCATGAATGCGAAAGGGTCCATCATGGTTTACGTGAAAGTTTGAGGTGTCCCATCCACCTTGACTTTCCTATTGGTCTTTATAGATAACATCTGGAATGATCAGGACCTTGATCTGGACTCGGACTTGCCCCCTGGCTGGCGTACCATCCGGGACAGCACTGGCACATACTACTGGCACGTACCCACCGGCGCCACACAGTGGCATCACCCGTCACATGACGCCGAGGGTGACCCAAGTTCCGCCCTCACGGGCGCCAGTAAACGCAGGGTAAGGTCTGATCTCGAGGCTGAGCAGTCGGTCGCTATAGACGCGATCCGCTTCTCAACATTACTGAAATGACTCCTCCCATTTTCAGAGATTCAGCGCCAGCACTGAACAAGGTTCTGAAATAAGGGGTACGATGAGCCCAACGTCGACCCTGCGTGACAGGTAAGCCCACTTCCCCATGCGGCCAATCGCAGGACCGCAGTGCAGCACTGGGGGCACCAAGGAGACGGGATTTAACCGCAGTTCCTCTGCCCGTCTTTAGAGATCAGAAGTCACCTGTGATTTAAGTCAAATCAAGTCAAGGGGGTTTATTGTCATAACATCTATACACAGGTATTCTGTACAGTTGCACAAAATTGCACCCCCCCCCCAGGACCACAGTGAGACATGCACACAGGAAGTGACAGGGGGCTGATTTCGCAATATTTAAAGTGCAAAACACAGGACAGTGTAAAACAAGGGGGCTAGACACAAGGGGTTTATGTGCATGGTTTATATTTGACCGTGTATGTAAAGAATAAGTAATGCAGATATTCAAATGATCAAACACTCCATTATGTGCAGTTTGCTGACTGCAGTGAGAGATCACTGGAGTCGTAAACGTCCATGAAATCTGTGAATCGCTTTTTTGAATTTTTTCGTAACGGGGCGTCGTGTCACAAACTAAGTGCAGTAGTTTTGCCTTTATGCTTCCGTTCATTTTGGCTCATCTCAGAATGCATGCAACATCTCAGGAGTCACACGAACAGCACGAAGGGGGTAAAAAAGACCCTGCACGTGTAGTCGACGGAACACACGGCAACTGTGCCTGCAGTTTGTTTTTCGCCAGATCCAGTGGGAAGATGCACTGCCATACCAATGACCTGAAGACAGCATGCCTGATTTAGCTGTGATCTTCTGTCCTCCACACAGGGGAAGCCTGCCTTGGCACGAGGATCATTTTTATACCAACAACGATCCTGACTCTAAGGTACATTCACTCCCTTACGTTTGCATTCCATGCTGCTAATTTTGAGACGGTGCCTTTGAAACGTCTGACCGCACTGGCTTAAATAAAGGACTGTGTGTAACTAGAGGTCGTCAAACCACCAGATTGTGCAAAAAAAAAAACAGAGAACATTCAGTGGTGACTTTAATAGGCGCCTCTATGCAGCACCAGGCAGGAGCCTATTTTGCTTCCAGAACCAGAAAAGATTTGCGGGAGACCTACCTGCACACCATTGCTGTACTGAGCTGCCGTTTTTGCGTTATAGGTGGTGAAAACCCCAGGCAGGCTGTTTCTGAGATGAGTCACACAGATCTATAGCGTGACGCTCACACCCTTTCAGACTCCCTCAAGAAATCTTACGGCAAATCTATGATTCCATTATAAACCTAAAATTAGCCACATCGAAAGCTTTGGGGTCGTTTGCAAACCCTACAGACTATTTACAAAGTAATAAAACTGTTACATGCATGTAAATGTGTGTGCAGACTCGTCTCGAACTGAAAATCCCACTCCAGCCAGCTGATAAAAGTTGACAACATCGAAACACATCAGGTTCAGCTATTAGCCAAACAGTAACCGACTGCGTGCCTTGTGTTTTCAGTGGTAGCCACGTGATTGGCTGCTTGTAGTACCAAGGTGTACCTAATAAAGTAACCTCCTTTTCTATACCTCCTCTGCTTTTAGCTCTATATCCCGGACCCCCACTCCTCTGTATCCAGCTCTAACACACACTGATAAAAAATGTTAATAGGTCCATTGTAGCAAGGCCCAGAGTTTCCTGGTTTTCCCTAAATGGAGCAGCAATGGATTGCCGTTATATTAGGAAACTGGCTGTGTGGTTGTCTCATGTATGACGTGTCTCCCGTTCTGACCCCCCCGGGCAGTGTTTTGCTGTGCGCTCCCTGGGCTGGGTGGAGATCCCCGAGGAGGACCTGGCTCCTGGCAAGAGCAGCATCGCCGTCAACAACTGCATCCAGCAGCTATCCTACAGCAAGTGTGAGGGCAGGGACGCTGCGGGGGCATGGGGGGAGGTGAGTGAGGGGGCAGGTGTGTGTGTGTGTGTGTGTGTGTGTGTGGGGGGGGGGTTGATGCAGGAGACACATCTTGATTTTGTTCAACGTGTCCCTGAGTCAACAAGGAAGGGGATTCTTTTTCAGTACTTTAACCAATCACTATCTTCATTGTATGATGTCACCACATTACCTAAACCTAACCCCCCGCCATCCCCCTCTGTACAGGGTCAGGACATGGTCATGGTGCTGAAAAAAGACACCCTGAGCCTGGTGGACCCAGCGGACCACAGCCTGATCCACTGCCAGCCCATCGTCAGCATCCGCGTGTGGGGTGTGGGCTGCAACAAGGGGAGGTCGGCTTATGTCAGGATGCCAGTCATACCAGACCACTGATCACTGTAATGAAAAGCAATCACTATATCCAGTGCAGTAGGGATGTGATACCTATATACATGGTTACAGTATGTAAATGTAGCAGAAATAGTAGGAATACATTTAGTTTAAACACTACTTGTATATACACTTTATATAATTATAATAGAAATGTTATATTTATATACACAAATAGAGCACATTAGTGTAGCAGGAAAAGTTGAAAAATATATAGCTTACACAGTATATCTTTGTACACATTTAATTATCATAGGAATGTAACTCCCGTTAATAATAAATTATATAAAGTACATTTTAGGAAGTATATCCTCTTTTAATCATATAGTGTGATGCACGTTAAATGACCACATTTCTGGCAACAAAGTTATCTGGGAGAATATCAGTGATTTACCCAAATCTAATGTAAGTTATATTGCATAAACAATTACTAAAAAACATGGAAATTTCAGAAACATGAGCTGTGCATTGGTATATTAGCATGCTGCAGTTCCACGTAATGTTCACATTTTGCAGCTTGAACAGAGTTCAGCTCCATGATTATCAACGATTAGGTGAGAAACGTTTTCTGCTGGAGGTAAATGACGCTAAAGAGTATTGTAATGCTGAAATATCTCTTTCTCTTTTATTGCCACCCTTGAACACAGAGACAGGTAAATGCATTTCGATGTTTTGATAGGCTAGCGCTCTCTGACATGGTGCTGGAGATGGGAGACACCAACTTGCATGAATATGCACTCGCCGTGCAGATATTTCTTCAGAGCGGCAAGCTTGGTACAGCTCTTTGACGGCTTGGTTAATCGCTGGTTAGCCAAACTGGGTGTTTGCTGGTGGCGGGACAGAGCAAATATCTGTAGTGGCTGCGACGTTGCGTGCTTCTGGAATTCACCAATGTGAATTTCACTGCCGCTCCTGTGTTCAACGGCATGTCGTTCCACCACTGGAACCGTCAAAAGGAGACGAGATACACGACATGGAGGGAACACTAACTGCTGACTAGATTTTCAGTCAGGCTTGTCTAACCCATCAAGAATCTTGTTTAAGAAACCATTTAATGTATGTCCGACTTGTCCGTATAAGACTGCGTGCTGTTATGCTGTCTCCATTCAGTTAATTTTCTGCATGTATATATAAATAGTTGTGTATATATATATATGTGGACCTATATATATATATATATATATATATATATATATATATATATATAGTGTAACACAGAGATCCATTGAGATCCAGATGTTGCCTTTTCCATTTATATATTACCTACTATCTGTTCATTCATCCATCCATCCTGTAACTGTTTATCCTGATCAGAGTCATGGGGGCAGAGGTGGGAACAAGTAATTGACTTTCAGGTAACAAGTCTCAAGTCTTATCGCTCAAAGTCCAAGTCGAGTCTCGAGTCACAACAGGCAAGTCTTGAGTCAAAACAGGCAAGTCTTGAGTCAAGAAAGTCTAACACCAAGTCAAGCCCCAAGTCAGCAAGCTGAAGTCAAGTCTCAAGACAGTCTAACAAGTCTGAACATAATCCTTTTTTTCTAATTCAATGCCACAACAAAGTTAGATAGTATTTGCAAGAAGCAGAAGCACAGACAGGAAGATGGATCCTGGCCTTTCTGTACTGGCCAAGTACAAGAACAAATGCCTGTTTGCTTTTCTTGAGGCTGTGGAACTGACATCAGATCGGTTCAGCTAGCTAAACTCTCTGGCTCTGTTTCCAGCAAAGGGGAGATCGTTCATCATTCCCTCTCTCTCCAGTGTTCTCCTGTAATAACGAAGAACAGTAGGCGCTTGGCTTCTTGTTCTTACTGTCAGCGCTGGCAGTAGCTACAGCCAGGTCCCATGCGGAGTCCATTACTCGTAACCTTTTGGAAGAAAGGTCCTCTGAGTTCACATGCCTCTGAGGCCAGCAAGAGACAGAACCCACAACTTCACAGCCGCTAACTGATTGCAATTAACTTTCTTGGCTGCCGATCAGGTTCCCCTATCAAGAACTGGGTTTTTACGGCGCCTAGAATGATCCGTCTTATAATAAAAAGTGGTTGGGATGAGCTTTAATGCACTGGCCAATCAGGAGCCTCTTCTCTGAGACCTACAGGTTATGGTCACCTGCATCATTCCCTCTCCCTGTTACTTGCCTCCTCGGTGAAGACGACGGTCATGGTTTATTTACAGAGCTCCTGGCATTGGTGCCTTCATGCAGACAGGGGGCGGCATGGAGCTGAAAGGCATTTTAAATGCATTTTTCATACCCTAAGGTAGACATAGTGAGGGAAACAGTGAGGTGGGAGGCTTCTCTGCCCCCCAGGTATGTTTATTTATAGCGTTTTCTCAGTCACTGATACAAAGCTGGTTGTTAATACCGCTTTACCTACCTGGTCCCTAACAGTAATGAATTACGCTCATTTCCATAAAGGCAAAGGTCAAGACAAGAACAACACAGACTATATGGACAAAAGTATGTGGACACCAGCCTGCACAACATCTCACTCTGAATCAAAGGGTATTAATGTGAAGTCGGCTGACTCTTCGTTTCTATAATAGCCGATAATTTTCTGGGAAGACTGGTGGGTAGTGATGGCCGAATGGCGCTTCTTGGACCATTTGTATTTTTTGACCACACTAGATGGTTTGGTCCGGGCCATGTATTCAGCCCTTTTTTGAACAGAGAGCACCATCTAGTGGGGTTAGAAAATATAGCAAATGGTTCATGAAGCTTCATTCGGCCATCACTGCTAGTGGGATTTGCTGCCATTCAGGTTGGGTGTTGATGCTGGGTGATCAGGTCCCACTCTGTGAGCTTGTGTGGCCCCCACTTTGCAGCTGAACTTGCTCCCAGATGGTTCCACTTCATAGTTGCCCAGGGCAACTCTGGTAGGACAGAAGTGTGGAGATCCGACACGTTGGAAAAGTGTCCAGTGGTGTCCAATGACGGTGACAGGCTGACTAACCTCTTCTGAATGACCCCCCCATTCTGCTGCCAGTGTTTGACACTGCAGATCGCATGGCTGTGTGCTTAATTATACACCTGTATGTCAGCAATGGGTGTGGCCTATTCCTGTAATTACTAGGGGTGTCCCAATACTTTTGTCCATAGAGTGTATGTAATATATGCAGTGTTCCTGATTTGTGTAAGGATAAAGAACATTTGTTTTGGGGAGCTGGTATTAATTAAGCAGATCAATTCTCCACTGACACAAACTGCTCATCAAATCCTGCATTAAACATCTTTATTTTAGATTGCAGTAGAAAGATAATAATGCACGCGTTTAACATGTATTTAGTAACTAATCCAAGTTTGTTTACTATACTTTCAGTTTAAATATTATTATTACTGTTGTTTTTGTTATTATGAACAACAATATTAACATTTAATCATTCCGACTAAGTTTGCAGAATATATGATAATTGTAAAGTCTGCTTTATATGAACGTAGCAATTCTGTAAATCCTTGATTTAATAAATTTTAGCAAGACTACATCACTATAGCAATCATATGTCTTAGTTGCACCTGATTTTATTCTCTTTCCAACTCTTTCCAGTTATTCTCTGGCTATTTTCTGGGAATAACTCAGGCCACAAAGGCAGTGAAATTCAGACACTTGTACTGTATCGAGCTGTTGGTCCCAGTGTATCTTGACAGCTGCTTGCTCTTGTGTCCTGTCTGCTACAGGGACTTTGCCTTCGTAGCCAGCGACAAAGACACATGCATGCTAAAGTGCCACGTGTTTCGCTGCAACGTCCCGGCCAAAGCCATCACGGTGGCTCTGCACGACATGTGCTCCAAGGTGACTCTACAGCTGCCGGTTAAACTCCGCCCACCCACAAACTCCGCCCACTCTGTTAGCCTCATGTACCAAGCACAGCAGTCTGTATCAATCTACAGCAGTGATTTCATTGTAAAAAATACTGTTTGCTAAATATTCTTTACAAAAAACCATCTCTGTTTTTTAACTTTGACCACTGCTTATAATTTATTAAATATAAATATAAAAAAAAAAATATGCAAAATATATAGAAAAGATTAAAAGAATGCAAATATCAAAGAATTTAGCACAGTTGATTTTCCACATCAAACATTCCAATGTATTTCAAATAAATATTACATTGTTATTGTTTATTGACATATTGGGATGTGGAGAGTGAAGTGAGCCCTGAAAAATGGCCTGATCGTTTCTTTATTCGTTGTGCAAAGCTACCCCTTGAATTTCCATCTGCAGATCATGTCAGAGAAAGCCAAGATGCAGCCGCCCATGCCGCGCTCTGTCACCATGGAGAGCATCTCCCCCGAGGATCTGCCCAGACACGGTAACTTATCCTGTGGGAGTCTGCTTTGAGAACAGAATTCATTAAGATGCCATTTCCAATGTTCTCCTTAAATGAATGATGTTCAGAATGATGCTGGACAGCGTCAGTTTTGAGCCGTGTTGAGTGTGCAGCGCGTGGAGGTCTGAGCATGCAGAAAGCAGCGCCTGATCGCTCACGGCCTGTCCGCTCACGGCCTGTCCGCCCGCGCTCCGCTACACCTGTGGCGCATGAGCTACTGCCTCGCTGAGTGTATCTGACCTCGTTTGTGGTTTCTTCTTTGTGAGGATTCCCGTTCAGCACCATAACAAGCATTCAGTGCCTAGTCACCCTGTTCTCCCATGTGCCAGATTTCTCAGATTTACCCTCCAGCATGTCCTGTGATTTGGATCCTTGCTTCCGTGTTACCCAAGGGTGTTTCACAATAAATTGCCTGGGTTTTAGACTGCAGATCTTGGACCAAGGACGTGTTTTTTTCTGTGCTGTACTGGCACGGTGCTGCAACATGGGTCATAGTTTCGGCTTGTGATCTTGATAATGAACCTCGTCTTTCTTCCTGCATCCTCACAGAAATGCTATAGCCCTGTGGCACAGAATATTCTTAAAATAATGTCTGATGAGATACCGTTTAGTTTCTAAGGGTATATATTTTCCAGAATGGCAAAATATCTCGGGTTTTCAGTACATTTAGTGTGCCATTTATACATCTGTAACCATTCATTCTTTTGTTTACATTGCGAGTCACATTCCGGACACAGAAGAAGCTGATGGTGATCTTATACAAAGTCCCCTCTTTTGGAGGAAGCCCTCAGAAGCAGCTTTGGTTTGTCTTGCAGTCGACTTCCTGGATGCAGTGAGGCAAAGGGAGCAGATGTTTCCAGTGGAGTATATCGGTCAAATGGCCGTTCCGCAGGCCATGGGTGAGTCTGGGGGTGCATCAGGGGGGTAACTAAGGGACACATCCCTTTTTATTCATACAAATTCAATCCAATTGAGGATTATGTATCAAATGCACTACGGTTCATCATACAGCTGTAGAGGTAGGCAATGGAATGAGGTTCCTTGAGTGCTTCTTATAGTAAGCAATAAATTAGTTTAGGGATAATGACAGACAGACAGACATCCATCCCTGGATGAGATACCAGTCCATTACAGGGCACAGGCTCACACGTAACCACAAACTGTGCCCAGTTCAGAAACTACGGTTCCCATGACTGTGTGTTCTTTTGAACTAAAGCGGAGCGCAGCAGCCCTGGGGCTGTGCGGCCTGCCTGCCCCTCCCTGAGCCACCGTGCGGCCCCCTGAACCCTTATCTCATTGGCTGAAAGAGGACCTCATAAGTGAACGTTTCTCAAGACACTCGTATCTTGTCTGACCATGTAGGAGTTTCCTGTTTTGTTGAAGCATTTCCAACACATGACCGGCTGGTCTTCAGCCTCTCCCTCTATATAAAAGCCAAACCATCCACGTGGCTGGGTAACTGCAATGATGGCGGTCTATATACTGTACTCTGTTATTCAAATGGATGCTGCGTCACTGACAGAGATCTACAGCTGAGGCTGACCTGGCCTGTAGCCTATGGGTCTTGTTGGGGGCCCCAAAAATTTTTTCTAGTTGTTACACAACATTTCAGGACTTTAGCCCAGGAAACCCACCCCAAATTCAGCCCTGTCAACCTGACTAACAGCAGCCTTCTCAGCTCCACCTACTATAATATCCATCACAGTGAATTACCCACAATTCTGTGTTTCCTTTGTCCTGTTGCCAGCTGTAGCAGACATTCCACGTCCCAGGGACTGGTGGACCCTGCTCTCTCAGCAGTGCTTCATTTCAGATTAAAGCATCACATGGATAAATAAGTATCCATGTAAATGGCTGCACTTGAGACACCGAGGAATGTCTGTCTGCGAGTGCTAACAGCTGTCATACCCTGCAGTCTGCGCAGTCATACCCTGAAGTCTGCGCAGTCTCATCTCACACACAACAACAAACGGACTGAGTGAGTTTGGGATCCCCGCACTGTAACATATGATGAGGAAGCCTGACTTTACTTCAATTGCAGGTATGGAGGTGCTGAACAGGGCAATCGAGAACGTCATGAACATGACGGACAGGGATGAGTGGGAGCCCACGGTTCTCCGCGTTTCGGACGCCGTGCTGTCCCTCTGGAGAGGAGAGGTGATGGGGACGTCCCGTGTGGGGGTTTTGGGGTTAGGACCAGCTACATGTACGGTACTGTGCAAAAATCTTAGGCAGTCACAGGAAATTATGTCTAAATGATCTTCATCTTGGTGTAAAACCACAAAATTATATCTGTCGAAGTGAGTCAGCTTAGCCATTTCAAAGCATCTCCTAAAGTTACCGCAGTATTTGCAGCGACCGTCCAGTGCACACATGTATTTCTGGACTCGACCACCTGCCCTGCCTTGTTTAGATAATCAATAGTAATTTAACTAATTAAGTTAATTAATTAATAGAGCTGAAGGTGAATTTAAGATATGGAACGGCTGAGGTGGCCCAGAGGAGAGGTTTGGGAACTGAGGCGATGTTCTTCTAACCATCCAGCAAGATATCCGCAAAAATTCTTGTTTGTTTTTGTCTTTTTCTTAACTTGGGTACATTATCATATTAAGTTCAGTTCTTTGCCCCGAGCAGATAAATGGCTTAAGACCTTGGACCTCCTGTCTTTCAGGATGGAGATGACCCACTCTGGGAGTCTCAGGTGCGCTACCTGACCTTCCTGGGCGTGGGCCACGACAGGCACACCTTTGCGGTGATCGTGGACGGCGGGACACAGCGATTCCAGTGTCATGTCTTCTGGTGCGAGCCCGACGCCGGGTTTATCTCGGAGGCGGTGCAGGCGGCTTGCATGGTATGCTCACTACTGGACCGCAAAGCGGACGACCACGGTCCAGAGACCCCGGCTACTGCACGTGCCCAGCAGGCCTCATAGAGGATCTGCTGGATAGCGCATCTAAACACCCACAATGAGTGCTTCATGAATAACGCAAGACATTCGTATTATAATGTACCTTATTCACCACTATGGTCAGTCCTGCTACGCGACCGATGTGTTCCTGAAAAACCTCTCGTTCACTAAAATCTCGTACTAAAATATCCAACAGGAGAAATAGGGTTAGAAGGATGTGACCGGTAAAACTTAGTAACTTAAGCCAAACGGAATTAATTAAATAATAAAAACAGTGATACCAGTGGCCAATAATGTAATTATATGCATTTTTATGAGTCTCATGAGAATTGCCTGGAAACCGCTTCAACTGAACTTGCTGAACTCGCTAACTTGCCGATTGTCGAGAGTTGGGAGTAGCAATGGCCGAAACGTGGGGTCAGAAAATACGGCAAATGGTTCATGAAGCGTTGTTTCGTCATCGTTAGTCGGGAGCAGTGAGCCACAGTCGCCGTGCGGCCGGGCTTCGCGTGCGCACAGCACAGATATAACGGATTACGGTATGTGGGGGCGCAGAAGGCAACGTAGCTACAGCCTCTCTACAAAAACAAATGTAAGAGAATTTAAAAAGGTTGCTGTGTTTTGATATGATAACTTTTTTAGATTTTTAGAATCTAAGACTTTCATCTGTGCCATGTGTGGATGCACAAAAAGTTTAATTCTTTTATATTAGACAACCAGTTCATCCAAGTCACTGAAACAAACCAGTTCAAAAGAACGATTCGTTCGCGAATCATACTGTACATCACTATCGTTCAGTTGGATAGCTGTTTTTGTGTGCAAGTAGTGTTGTAGTTTGCGGAATACTTTTCTTTCTGAACGAAAATAACTCAAATTGGACTTGGGTACTAATATATCAATCGTGTTAGAACAGATTTGTGGCGTGATATCACATGTTGTAGCAGGACTGAATGTATCTCTTTAAAAGTCTGAAAATAAGTGCAGAAACGCAGCAATAACTGCAGGCTCACCATGCAACCCCCCTCCTACCAGGTCCAGTATCAAAAATGTCTGGTGGCCCAAACCCCGCCGCTCAAGTCGAAAATGTGGCGGTCCGGCAGCAAGGTGAAACGGACCAGCTCCGTAGACAGCACCTCCCTCCTACCCCCCCACAGCGGACTCTCACCCCCAAAGTTTGGGACGACCAACGTCAGAAAGAGCATGCTGGCCTTCTTCGAGGCCTTCCGAAACAAACCCTCCCCCGTACCCGCTCCCTAGCAACCGTCGATAACGTACCGTGACTGTGACTTGGCCAACAAGGAGGACTCTTATTTTGACATCTGAGGTGATTGTTAATTGTCACGCATGAAGACCTCCTGCTTTTTTCACCTGTTTGTACATGGTTTTAAAACTATACACGTGTCTCATCAAGAAGTTTTAAAACGTAACTCTGTAGAGAGATTGCAGACCAAAAAAAAAAAGAATGTTGAAAGTGCAAAAATTAAATTATTTCATATTTTTCCCCAGTCAATCTGTTGTTAGTCTTTTATCAAGCTCGTCATCAAACTAGCATCTTTTGCAATTAAGACGCAGTATTGCATAAAGTGCAGTTCTAACAGATAAATTAAGATATGCTCTCATCTGTCATTCCATACCTCTCTAGTCACAAGAAGATCCTGGGAAACGGTTCTCTCATAAATACAGAAGTGTCACAAAAAAGGGACAGCGTTATATTTGTACTGGTAATTCATACTATACGAAGCTATGCACACATTGCTGGTTTCAAAACTTTTTTTTTTTAGCTAATAAAGCATTTATTTTCTTGCAGTTTTAGGATGAAACACAAGGAACATATTTAAACGGTAAAAAAACAATAGTACATAGTATCAGTTTTCCTATTAAATAAAATACATCTATTTAAGACAGCTGTAGTTGCACAGATCAACAGTGTTTTTGATGCATACATTTTGTAAGGCATATTTATGAATATTGTAAAAGCGAATCAACAGAAAGTGTATATTGCACTAAGCTTATGCACTTCATGAAGTTACATGCATGGATTTGAAAGGTAGGTTTTGACCACCCTAGCACGAAAATTTCTGTTTGAGAATTGAATATATGCACGGGAAAACATATCTCGTGAATTATGAATTATGACGCTCTAAATTATGACGCACTAAAAGGATAATGTATGATTGATGGCAGTCCCGCATTTCTGGAGATGTCAGAAAAAAATGGACAAGAAAATACGAACATGCACACGTATATAATTCTACCCTATTTACTGCACTGAATACTCACACATGCCTGGGCAAGAGAAGTGGGAGGCTATTCAAACTTTCATTTTGCAGGAGAACGTGCATTTAAACAAATGATACATGAGTTACAAGGTGCATAATATAAGTAGTGGTAGTTTGTTTATTGTATATTAAGACATATTCAGATATGTGAACTTGCCAGTTGCACATACATAAAAGTGTCATTTTTTAAATGTAGGGGCAACATATTGCCAAGAGGAAATAAACTTGAGATTATGTGGTCTGTGCGATTCTTTTGAGATGCAGATATATAGAAATGTCTAAAATGACACCACAGCCGTGCTCTTGATCACCTCTGCCCTAAAAACTATCAGGAATCAAGAACTAAATTTCCACACGTATGCTTTCCCAGCAATCGAGTAAAATGAAAACGAGTTTTGAAAACTTTGTGCCGTTTTAGACAACTACAGAGCGTCGCCTAATGATGACGTGGCACAGTGCGATGGTAGTATGCGTGGAGCCGCTTCGATCGGGAGCAGTGTGCGAGTCTTCTCGACAATAATAACAACCTTCACTCCCAACTTTCTTCCTGCACACCACAAAGGGAAGGCGGATATCCGTGTAAGAAGCGAACTGCAGTTTGGCCGGCTTTACACGTGTCCCGGATATGCTAAGACTGTGACCGGACAGGAGACGTTATGGAGGAACAGTACATTAAACCAGGTTTGAATTTGTAATCCTGGAACCGTAGTGTGTTCTGTTTTACTGCATCTCTATATACCGATAAATACGTATATGTATAAATGTTGAACATTGAACTGCCGTTGAAATGTCGACAGGTACACTTCTAATATTAACGGACATGAATGATCTTTGTAGGGAACCAGGACCGGGGCTGGAACGACCCTCCCCAGTTCTCTTACGGTCTGCAGACCCAAGCTGGACCAAAGCGGAACCTCCTCAATAAACGAGTTCCCCCACCACAACTGAGCGACTGTCAAAGTAAGTGGGATATAGTGAAGTAGCTTTAAGTATCTTATATAACAGGAGATTATGCTTGTTGTGCTTCTGAATCATGACATTTATAACCCAAATACAAAGGATCATAATTCGGTAATCAACAAACACACAAAGTTTTTTGCTTCATTAATACAAAGCACTTCATGAGCATTTAGTGTCTATTCTCGTTTTAGGTGGTTCTGCATGCACTGTATTCATGGGGGTTTGTGTTCCTTTTTTAGGTCCTGTTCCAGGTATGACTCCTCCAGCAAGTCACTCAACTCCACCCAGCAACCCTCTGGCCCCACCTCCTTGTGGGGTGGCCACACCCCCACGGTCTCTTCCAATGAAGGGACAGTCGGACACACCCACTGCCCAATCAGAGAATGAGCCCTGCGTTGATGACGTCATCACTGTGTTAACCTGCACCCTGACGTCTTGTAGGCGTACGGTGAAGGTAAACTGAATTCTTAGCAAAACGTTTCCAACATTTTAAAATTTATTTGAGAAATGCATCATTAGCTGATTTTATCGTAGCGTGAACATCATACTGTGTATACGCAAACCTAAATGATATAGCTTACTGCACACTAGGCTACATAATCAAATATTACATGCTGTACATAATTGTCTGTGCTGTATTTTATATGACCGGCAGCGCAACAAACCAGCATTACCACAAACGAGTCAGGAATGCTCTGCGCGCAGTGGCAATTTTTAACTCTGTTGTTTCCTAATCTAAAGGGACCACCATCGTAAATGCAGTCCACTGTTGACCAAAACAACGTTATGCGGCGCCTGACAGTATTTCAGTCTAGGGCAACGTACTGTACAGTATAAAGTAACGTCGTCTTAAAGTTGCAGTTTTTTTTTTTGGAAATAGCATCCATAAAATGCTTTTCACAGTGGTAAAATTTACAGTGGTACATTTTTTTACTTTAATTATATTCCAACAGAAACAAGTGTGTGATGATGTGGCCAGAAGATTGAAGCTTTTTGAAGATGCTTGGAGAGATGGGAAGCTTTCGCTCCCTGTTAGAAGAAGGATGAACCTTCTGGCACAAGGTATGGAGGTTCTGCAGACCTTAACGTTGTGTGATTTGAATGGGGGCTGGGGGGGGTTATGTTACTCTGAATGGTTACCTGTAACAGCATTGTAAGAAAAGTTGATATACAGTAAGTTATAAATCAGGGCTCATCAACATGGTGCCCCCAAGGACCACATGAGTCGTCCGCGGATCTGTTCTAAAAGTAGCATAACTCACCAGTGAGCAGCGTCTAAAATGTAATTTTATCCTGTTGCTATTCCTCTTTAATCACATTTGCATTTATATGGATTTGAAAATGCCAATATCTAAAAAAAAAAAAAGCATTTAAAACATGTTTATTACACATGAAGTTTAGATAAGTTTAGGAGGGCGTTTCCAACTGGTAGCCCTTCGTATGGCTCAGTACCCGTGAAGTAGCTCTCAGTTTCCAAAAGGTTGGTGACCCCTGGTCTAAATGACTGATTCTGTTCTGCAGAAGAGGTTGTAGGTGATGGTCGATCCTTGTCTCTATGTTGGAATTGTGTCACTCGGTGCAAACTGTTTCACATGGGGTCATGTTGGCTACTCCCTTGTCCCAGAGATGAGGAGCCAGAAGTGGGACAGTGCAGATGAGATCCACCGAAGCCTGATGGTGGACTTCGCCGGCGAGGTCAGCCAGTGGATGGTGGGGGTCAAGCGGCTGATCGCTGAGGCGCGGCGCCTTGGCCCGGATGTCCTGAACACTGCAAAGTCGGATCCGTTCCCAGACTCGTCTCACGGTGGAGATGCTGCCACGGAGTAGACTGGGACGGCATTTACTGGGAATTTCTGATGGGACGCTCGTTTTTTTTTTCTCTTGTTTTTGCAGTTTTGGAGCAAGGTGGGTCCTTGTCACTTGAAAAGTTGCATCCATTGTTTTGTTTTTGTGTTTCTTCTTTGGAATAAATGTTCCTCATTCCGAGTGGATGTTAAAGGGAAGCGTAACTTAAGCATTTAACAGTTTACAGTCTACACTTTTTGTGCGGTATGCAATGCACTTCTTTGTATCTGTTTATTTTTTCCCCACTGTAACTGAATCTTTCTCACCCTCAGTTTCTGCCGGATGAGTAACATCTGATGAGGAGACGGTCGTAATTGTAGCCGGTGTCATCCGTAATCTGAAGGGCGTGTTGGATGGTTTCTGCATTTAATGTAACGGGTGCCCAGCAGTCACAGTGAGAAGCCCTGGTTTCTTTGAAACACTGAATGAGGATGTAACATTGTTTCATTCCATTGTTATTTTTTGTATATATGTAAAGCACCGTTTAGCACAATGGTGTTTTATTCATGCCTGTTCGCAGACCTAACGGCACAGTGCGCGTTTCAGATTGTTCTTTAAAGGGGAATTCCTCCAGATCTGTCTTTTGTTGTTCTGTTTGCGTTTTTATGGTAGAAATACCCATGAAGGGGGGGGGGGGTGAGATTAGGCATTTAATTTTCGGGTTCATGCTTTAAAGTTAGCATTTGGTTCTGCGCTTTGTACCTCCCACCCCCGTGTAGATCACAGCAGGATTTCCCCCCCCCTCCAGCCCCCATGCATTTCGGTGTCTCCACAGAAACCATTTACCTTTCAATGGCATGGAGCTGTGGAAGGACAGGAAGCAGAGAAGGGCATGGAGATGTGAGAGAGTCAGTGGTGCATGCAATGTCGCTGGGTTTGGGTTTATAACATGAGGTTTGGGGAACGTAGATTTTTGTATTTAATTCCCTTCCAACCACCAGCTTTCAGGATTCGGGACTCTGGGAGATTCTACATGCATCCAAGGCTACCTGAACAGATATAAATGTATTTGAATTATTTGACAAATAATTTAAAAAGCTTATAAATTATAAAAAATAAAGCAATTTAAATGGTAATTCTTCGGGGCAGTTTGTCACCATGTTTTCTGATTGTTTTTGACACCTACGTGCCTGATTTGACTCATTATAAACCACATGATTACCTGTCTTAGGCATATAAGTAGCAGGACTAGAGCAAAACTGCGGACTGGGTTCAGAACCACTGATGTACTGGGACTTAGGTGCAATTACACCCAAGTCACCTGAAGATGGCGCCTGTGTCTCACTTCACTGACACGGCACTTGGCCGCCTTATCTTCAGTGTGTTTGCGCTTCAGTCGATGCTTTGCCAGTCTTTAGATTAGGGCTGTCATCTCATCCCCTTTAAAATCCTGGACACCCAGTCATTGATCAAAAAACACTGCACATAGTGACACCATTCCGAAGGTTTATTTACGTCTGTTTGATAGGGAAATTGATTGGGACGTGTGGCTCAGCCAGTTAGGATGCTTTACAGCAGTTAGCAGGCCTGCCCTCCAAGCTAGATCTTAAAGGTGCAGGTTGAGTTTGGAGTTTTTATTAAATAAGACCTGTGGGCTGTACTACGAAGCGGGGTTACTGGCTTATCGGGGTAACTTGTCGGATTTAAGGTAGTCTGGGCAAAATGTAAGTGAGCGAATATGAAGTCCATTTAAACTGTGGTACCTTAAATCCGACAAGTTACCCCGATAAGCCAGTAACCCCGCTTTGTAGTACAGGCCACTGGTCTAGGGATTTATGACAGACTAAATAACAAAGTTTTATAAGAAGTTTTCTACTTATATTGGTTTCAATCCTGAAATAAGAAGCCAAACATTATAGTCACAGAAACAATTATATGAAGGTATGGGCTGACTACTATCACATAGAACAGTGCAGGTAAGATTGGGTCAGTGAAGAGAAGCCATCCAATGTATCTGTGCTTGTGCAAATAAAGCATGTTTGTTAAATGTAGCTCTGACACTTATTCCAGGATCCCACCTTAAGGTGTGTGGCTACTCTGTGGCTCAGTGGGTTAAGTCTCTGTGCTTGTGAGCTGAAGGTTGCTGGTTTGAATCCTGGTCCTGCTGGAGTGGCTGCTCCTGCTTGAACAAGGCCTTTAACCCCCAGCTCTCTGCATGCTGTGGCTTGTCTGACCATCCAAGATGGGGGAGGTAAAGGAAAGTGTTCCTCTACAAGAAGTTATAACTGTGTCAATGAAAGTTTTAAATTGTGCTCCAGTATACTGGAACACACACATATTAATAAACACTTATGATTTACATGAGTACAGCCATATAGTTCTTCTGTTTTCTGATCATGCTTACCCCCCCTCAACTGTCATTGAAGGCCTTGCTTATGGGCCTACAGAAATGCAACCATTCTGCCGGGGCTGGGGTTTGAACCGGTGACCTTCAGCTCACGAGCACAGAGACTTAACCCACTGAGCCACACCAGCCCCATGTGTTAAGGCTGGATCCTGGAGTGGAACTGGTGAGGAGTCAGTCTGGAAAAAAATGAGAAAACCACATAAAACATCCTGGTACAGACCCTTTCATACTCCTTACATCTTTGGGGGAGACAGTGCAAGGGCAGCTAATGTGTACTGTTCTCTGGAGAGGCAGGGGTTTGAACCCACAAGCTTCCGATCACAAGCACAGAGCCTTAGCCCACCGAGCCACTCACTGCCGCCATTTCAGCCTGATCTGAATTTACCTTTTGACTCTGGTAGAGACACGGGCCAGATTTGGCAGCGCCGACCACAGCACCTGCATGGAGTGTCAGCTTCAGCTCTCCTCATTCAGTGTGAATCTGGCCCAGATGTGGCCCTTATCTGTTTCAAATCCAGAAAGTGGATTCAGACCAGTATTGGTCCGTCGTGCAAAAAGACACCGGGCCAGATCCGGTTTACGGACCTGCGGCGATTTCTGAACGATATTTGGCCCAGATCCGGACTGGGCTCGTCACGGCATATAGCTTTAAGAGAGAATAATACGAACAAAAAGCCGAGGCAGAAACACCAGCGACTTTCACTTCTGGTGGGGCGACGTAAGCAACGATGGACAGTTTCATTTCTTATTTGATAATTTGATAAACGGAAAGCCTTTCCAGTTAACAACAAAAAAGATCTGCAGAACAGAACGTGCCTTAGAAAGCAGTGCTGCGTGGTTCTGCTTACGGAGACCCACGAGTCCAGTTCTGTGCGGAGTCTCCCCCTCAGAAAGGCAGGGTGTATCATCTTAGTAAGTTATTTTTTTTACATTTTGCAGCTCCTGAAATTGTTTACATCTGGAGGCCTCCGGCTGTCTAACTGAGATTAGACGTTCCTGGAATCTTCGGCGCTGCTGTTTTTTTTTTTTTTTTTAACCACTGCTGATCCGTCCGTCCATGCGACGATCTTCCAACTGCTTACCCGGTACCGGATCGCTGGGGACCTGGGACCAGTCCCAGGAGGCGCTGAGAACAAGCCAGTGGACAGAATACCAGTCCATCTGAGGTCACTCAAGGATGCGCTTCAGGTGATTCAGAGATGCCAGTGTGGCTTTAAACTATGGGAGAAAACTAGTCATGGCCTGTAATAATAATAATAATAATTATTATTATTATTATTATTATTATAACAATAATTGGCAAATGAGGCAAGTGAGAAAAATAGCATAATACCAACATCCCTGCTGTCAGGTAGTCGGTGAAAGCTTCCAGTGAAAGCCCAGGTGCAGGTGTGAGTAGTGTTGGAGCAGAAGGTACACAGCAACTACACAACTACACATAGTACTATTAACAGTAATATGACTATTCAAGGGCCTGGAAGTGCAATAGAAAAGCATTCAAAGGTCATAAAGCCATCAGTGTCACCATGACTATAACTACGTACAGTAAAGAGTGAACTACATGTATTCATTTATACTTTCCTGTTTCAGTGCAGCACCGAGCAAAGGATTGTGGGGCCATGACATTAAGCCAATGTATGAATTACTCTCCACCCTGGGAGGGAACATTATGTATGTTAAATATCTGGTCGGTTTCCGCACAGGAATGCATGCCTGCCAACACGCCCTGCGGCTTGTCGGTCCGGTGAGGGTTACGTGCCGCCATCATGCCGGTTTGCTGTGCTTCAGTGGTCGTATGAGGGCCCCTTTGCTGTAAACACGTACATACCGAGGCCCTTAAACAATAAACACCCTCAGCAAACTCAAAATGAAATACAACTCCTTATTCGGAGAGACAAGCGTAGCCGCGCGATACGGTAAGTCTGATTCCACCCCTTAATATTTTGATCCCTAACACGAGTGCTCTGCATTTTCAGCAGATCTTAATGGCTGTAATGAAAACAGCACAGCTTGTGTTTTTAAACGCCGCCATTGTTAAAACCACAGAGGACAATCAGGATTCTAATCCACGTTGAAAGAAAGGTCTGATTGATAAAGTGCCAATGTGAGACAGACAGTGTAAAAAAATAATTGTGGTGAATTAAAAGGCAAAACTGCCGGCTTGCTGGTATGCCCCCCCTCCCCCCTCCCCCAAACAGGAAACACCCCCCCACCCAACCCCACAAAGATCATCTTCCCCTGACAAGCCTCAACTCCTGCTTTTCAGGGAAGGTGGTGCCCGTCTGTCAGGCTGATCTGTGATGTTTGCTGCTCCAAAAGGTTTTTTAATAACCAGATAATGTGGGACTACTCGCTCTGTTACTCGCCCTGTTACTCACCCGTTACTCGCACTGTTGCTCGCCCTGTTACTCACCCGTTACTCGCCCTGTTACTCGCCCTGTTGCTGATAGAGCCTTTTCCCACTTTAAGTCAGTGCTTCTGGCAAAAGTATTATTAATAATTGGGTGTGTTTCCATAAACACCATTTGAGCTGGCTGACTTAATATCTATGTAATCAAACCATAAAGCATTATGATAATCTCAGATTTTCATCAGTTTACAGGTATTTTCATCAATTTTACTGAAACACAGGACTTGTTGTCCCTGTCTGGAAGGCGAAGGGTGACCGCCTGGAGCAACACAACGATCCCGGCCCTTAATGACCTCTGACCTCTTGGGCACAGACATCAGTAGCGTGTCTGTCTGAGGCGAGAATGTCGACCTCGCCGAGAGATTCACTTACCTTGGCAGCGACATTCGTGTCTCTGGTGACTCTTCCTGTGAAGTCAGCAGACAGATTGGGAGAGCATGGGGGGGGTCATGAGGTCGCTGGAAAGGGGTGTGTGGCTCCCGATATCTTTGTAAGAGGACGAAGGTCCAGGTCTTTAGAGTCCTGGTGCTTCCTGTCTTGCTGTATCGCTGTGAGACATGGACTCCAGTGAGCTGAGACGATGACTGGACTCCTTCGGTACTGTGTCTCTTCGGAGAATCCTTGGATACCGCTGGTTTGACATTGTGTTGACCAACATTGTGTTTACTCAAGGAGTCCCAAATGAAGCACATTATCTGCATCGTGAGGGAGCATCAGTTATAGAGACAATACAATTATACAGACAACTTTAATGGCCATTTGCCTACTGGTCTTAATCTGCTTTTTGTGAAACTGGGAAACGATGACCCACCACAAGTGGCGTAATCGCCGTCTATTTAGAGCCCTCTGTCCTCACCTAAGTTACCATGAACTCCATGAGTGACAAGATAACAGTTTATGATTTAGATGCTCCGGAAAAGCTGTGCTGCAGTTAGGGCAGCAGGATATCACATTGCCATGTAATCGCTTTCATACATGCGCATGCGCAATAATCACCAGGGCTTTAGACAACGGGTGAAGCATTCGCCTGAAATTTCTTGTGAGACAGTAGCCTGTATAAAATCACCGTATCCTTATGTTTACGAAGTTCGGTTAGCGGAGCGCGCCACACGCTACTGCTTTGGTAAATCAGGGAAGTGAGAAGCACTGAAGCGGCGGTGAAGGAAGGGGCAGATCAGCAGGCACAACATCCTTAAAAAGAAGAGATATTCTGGGTAAACAGACAGCGGTACTTTTTGCAGTTAAATGTCCGACAGGTTTATTAAACCTTTTTATAGGAGAAAACAAATTCATACAGACTACTAACTTCTGGGCATCACAATATGCGTCTCATTAATGTTTTAGGTGCCCTGCTAATCTGCTTACCAAACTGCGGGCGTGAGTAGTTGTCTGTATAGTACTGAAAAGCCGGCATCCGGATATAATGTTTACGGGCATCATCTAAAGCCCTGGTGATTACTGGGCATGCCCCATACATTCACGCCCAGATCTCACGCAGCCCTAAGTGGGGCCGGCCAACCTCGGCAGCAAAAAAGCAAAACTGCACGCTAAAGGTGATTTTTACGTGGATGACAAAAGACCTAAACGCACACCTTCAGGTTTAAATCAAGGTCATTCACAGGCATCTTTTAAATGAACTGATTAGTGTTAACATTCCATTGTTTTCCATTGAGAATTAAAAATTGTTTGTCAGATCTAAGGTAGTCTGGACTAAATGTAAGTCAACAAAAACAAGACAAAGTCCATCTAAACTGGGGCACCTTAAATCCATGTTATCTGGCTTTGTCATACAGGCCTTCGATTGTTTTGTATGAGTTTTTTTTTTTGGCCTTGTCCGCACGTATTAAAAATGGTGCTTTCCCTCCTCCGTTATTAAAAAAAATCCCGTCCACGCAAACGCGGATTTCCCTGTCAATGCTCAAAAGCGGAGTATCCGAAAATCATCACTCTGCATGTGGTTTTGCGAAACCTGCATTTTCAGTTACCTAATACGCCGTTTGTGTGTGGACGAAAGGCCAAAACGCATAGAAAAAGTTCCGTTTTTAAAAATACGCGTGTATGAGTGGACCTGCACTGTATCTACATTGCCGGTGGACTGACAAATTGGTTAAAACTTGCTACATGTCAAGCCATGATATAAAGAAGAAGCAACATATTTGGGCTGAAATGGCCCAATCTGTCTCCTCTCTCGCTCTGCCATTCAGAGCACTTAATTCGGTTTGGGACCATGACAGGTTTTCCGGATTGAAGGGATTGTGGAAAGAATTACAGACTTCTAGTGCAGAACAAAAAAGACATTGTTACACAAGTACTTAAATTTGATGAAATTTCAAATAGGAAAAAAATGTGTTTTCCTTGGAGGAAAAAAAAACACCCTGAAAAAAGCATTTCATTTTACCACAGGTGCACACAAATGGGTTTCAACCAACACTTGTCGGACTTAAAGTAGTCTGGACTAAATGTAAGTGAATGAAAATAAAGTCCATTTGAATCAGGGCACCTTAAATCAGACAGGTTATCTGGCTAAGCATGAAGTCCGGCTTCTTACAAGTCCCAGGTGAGCTCAAAAATCAGCATCAGGCTGCACCGATCTGGGATACGTTTCCCAACAGCTTCCATTAGTGACCTGCATAGTTGGGACTGTTCAGTTGTATACTTCCAGATATGTGATTTAGCAGTGATGGTTTTGGGAAACGTTCCCCCAACAGGAATACGTGGGACGCACAGAGGCGCACCCCCAATACGCACAGTTACTGCGCCAGGTCACCCCCTGTGTGTGGTCTGCTGTCCTTCCACATTTAAACAGGCATATTTATTATTTATAAGACTGTGCTCTCATTATGTCATTTTTCCAAAAATCCCTGTTGTTTCTTTAGCACAAATTCGCTTAATGCGACTTGATTAGGTTTATCATTAACGCGACTATTGCGTTATAGGACAACATATTTAATTTTAAAGTCACCTGATAAGAATTTATTAATATCAATAAATCTGCTTTATCGCAGATGCAACACCTTCAATGCCACTTTTACTGTTCAGAGTTTATTGCTCTAGGAATTGTGGTGCTATAGTGAACATACATGTCATATAAATTAAAGGAGTAAAGATATACTTTCATCTCATTCCTGATTTTCAAACATGCACTAAAACCTCACTGGATAAGTGGTGCTCTTTGATAGCTTTAAATGACACATAGCAAAGCACTGGAAACACAGTGACACCTCCTTAAATTGCACAATGTCCCTCCTTAAATCATACCCATAGCCTTCTTCCCAGTTACATAATAATACAGACATTAAGCAACATAACGCCTAGCATCATATCTTGTACCTAGCAAACTATATTGGAGGGTATTCCACAAAGCAGGATTTCTCACTCAGCCGGATTACTTGTCAGATTTAAGGTAGTCTGGGCTAAATGTAAGTGAACGAAGATAAAGACAATTTAACCCAGATTACCTTAAATCCAAGAAGTTATCTGGCTAAGCAAGAAGTCCTGCTTTGTGATATATCCCACAGGGCTCTTCAAATCTGGACCTCAATTCCAAATCCAGGCCTTGATTTCGGTTCTCCCAGGTAGTTAGTTTAATAACTGGCTCTGTGAGTGTGCATGTCCCCCCCGTGTCATCGTGGGGTTTCCTCTGGGTGCTCTAGTTTCCCCCCTACAGTCCCAAACCATGCTGAGGTTCACTGGACTTAGCAAATTGCCCATAGTTATGCATGTATGCCATGTGAATATGCCCTGCGATGGGTTGGTGCCCCATTCTGGGTTGTCCCATGCCTGGTGCTGTCAGCCCCCAGGATAGGCTCTGAACCCCCCACAACCATGAACAGGATTAGCGGTTACAGAAAATGGGTGGATTCTGATTGGGCACAGAGGCTTCACAACGGACTCACAGGTAAAGGAAAGATGGAAGATCAGCAGCGCTCGGACCTGGAGGACCGTGATTTGAACAGCCCTGATTTATACTGTCCATAGCTCAACGCATAATATTAATGCTTCTAAGGCAGTTAATCCCTTTACAAAACAAATAATAAATATGTATCTACTCTTTAAAGTTAAATCAACATTCAGTTTACTCAAGCAAGTACGTTAGATGAGATGTACAAAAACATGAATGCATAAGGTTTAGTGGAAAATCTTCTGTGGGGGTAAAAGATTCAGTGTAACTTTCACATTCAGAAGCCACTGGTCTAGAGCAGGCCTGAGCAGGAAGCTTCCCCATATCAGCGGGGGCCGTTTTCTTTACGTCCCACGACAGCTACTGTACAGTAGCAAACTCGTTAGATTTGACCTTTTCTGGAAATGTATGCAGAAATCAATAGATCCAATGCATTCTCATGTTTAGCTTATATATTTATTATTAATTAAAAGAAAAAAAATCGTAGGGAAAAATCTGTTCATCGTCAAAGATTTGAACAGAAAACTTTATTTTTCTCTTATTTTAATGATCTCTCAAGCCAGTAAAAATAGCTTCGTGGACTTGTTTTGCCCAGATCTGCTCCAGATAGACAAATATATAGGATTTGCTATTATTATTATTCTTATTCTGATTATTATGATGATTATTATTATTATTACTCTCCAGTTCCAGTCGCCAGTTCCCCTCGCTGATCCCAGAACAGAGATGCCTCCCCCTCTCAGCCTGTTGCGAGGGGCTGGAAGTATGACCTCCAGTTCCTTCCTGTATCGTCTGGATGCAGCCTGCACCCCAAGGGTGGCGTTTTTACTGCACGCAGCTGGGGAGTCGCCCACTCATGGGAATGAGCACTCATACCCGGATTCCCAGGGGGGGGGACGACTTCTGTCCCACCAGGCACACAAAAGTTTGAGCGGTGCTCTTTGAAAGAAAGAAAAAAAAAACCTTACATCCGGTCTCCCAGGGCAACCAAGGGTGCTGGGGGGGGGAGAGCAGCAACAGCGAGGCCAGTCAGTCCCGGCGCCCACCCCAGTTCCACTCCCCTGACCTCATGTAGTTGGGAACGCACTGGCACACAGAGGGGCTGTAGTAGTGCCCGGGGGGGCACTTCCGGCGCGGGGTCCTGCAGGGCAGCCTGTAGCAGCTGTGGCAGAAAGAAAAAAGAAAGCGGGTAGGTTTGGGGCCCTGTGGAATGCAGACCTGCCCCCCGGGGGCAGTCTGTGGTCTGAGGTGTGAGCCCAGTCCTCTTTACTGCACCCAGTAACTCTCCAAGTCACCATCACCGATGACATTTGACTTAATATCAACATCTCGCAGCGCCGACGGCAGCTAAGTCGCGTGGTCCCACATCCTCGTGACGTTGGTGGCCCCGTCAGTAGTAAGTTCATCCTATAGCGATGGCGTGAGTGTGGGAGGCGGGGGGAGGGAGGACAGCCTGTGAGGGAGAGGGAAGGAGCCGTGCCCCACACTCCACCCGCGTGAGAATGCAACCGGTCCTGATAAGAAGTGCGTCTGCATTACAGGCAGGCCTTCAGGCTTAAAATACCAACTGCATGTGGATTGGCCTTCAGCCGTCGTTACTGCGTAACAGGCAGGCCTTCAGACATAAAACACCGACTGCATGTGGATTGGCCTTCAGCCGTCGTTACTGTGTAACAGGCAGGCCTTCAGACATAAAACACCGACTGCATGTGGATTGGCCTTCAGCCGTCGTTACTGCGTTACAGGCAGGCCTTCAGACATAAAACACCGACTGCATGTCGATTGGCCTTCAGCCGTCGTTACTGCGTTACAGGCAGTCCTTCAGACATAAAACACTGACTGCATGTTGATTGGCCTTCAGCCATCGTTACTGCCATGTCTGTCTGAACGGGCCAGATTCACTCACAGAACCTTCATAATCGTACAGCCCACTGTGCAGCACCGTTCATCTCCGAGCCGTTACTACGGAATTCCACGCCAAACTTTCCCTGACATTATTTGCACTGTTACTGTTTATTGTCATTTATTATTTGTTGTTCTTGTCTATTAAAGTCTCTTTTACTGTGTAAATGTGTGTTGTGACAATTGGGCAAAAGCATATGATATCAACCCATTAGACAGTATTGGTAATTAATAACAAGTTTGTTTTGGCTTCTTCAACTCATTTGTTTTATTAGCAGTGAGATTTTTATCACAAATATCATCAAATATATCATGACATGAATTTTTTCCATTGTTCATTTAGGGCTGGGGGGGGAGGGTTCTCCATGATAATTTTCTATCTGTCTGTGTCTCTATCTGTCTGTCTGTCTGTGTCCATCCGTCTGTCCACCCATCCACCCATCTATTTATCCGTCCATACCTGAATGTAACACATGGTCATGTGATCTGTGGGGGCGGGGTCATCTACCTGCAGTTGTCGCGGTTGAACTTCTTGCCCTGCAGCAGGCAGCTGCGCTCGCTCTCCCTGCACTGACACAGGCAGGTGTCGGGGTTGAGGGGCTGGCTGCGTGGGCAGGTGGCTCGGCAGATGCAGCCGCACAGCTCGGGCTCCCAGCGCTGGCTGGGAGGACAGGTGCCGGGGGCGGGCAGCCCGTCGCAGACGCACTCGCAGGCGGCTGCGTCCAAACGCCAACCTGCGCCGCAGCTGGCCTCCGTCAGCCCGTTCTCGCAGACGCACTCGCAGCGGCCCTCGTCCAGCACCTTGTTGGGGCCGCACAGTGCCAGCAGGGCTGCATCCAGGGGGTCTGCTGGCAGGAAGTGACACGCACATTCATTCCTGAGCATTACAGTCTTTCTACTGATGCCGAGCGACGGCAGAATCTGCTCAGCCACGATTCCCGTCTCTGTTGCGATCGCGAGCATAAACATCTCACACAGTGTTTAACAGCGTATCAGAGTGTTTTTTTTTTCTGTGTTTAACCAAATAAACTTTATTTATTTTTGAATTACTGGTATTTGGTTATAGTAATTATTTACTTATTCAGTGACTAGTTATTTAGTCATATTCCACTTACAATGTTTCCCACAATGTCCATTGGAACGTAACCCCATCAACAGTCGAGGAGCATCTGTATTCTATATATTTTATCCCTTCTGCATGTCTTTTTGGAGAGAGCAGGTTGAGACAGTCCTGATTTAGGGTTAAGGGCCTTGTTCAAGGGCTCAATGGTGAAATAAGTGCAGGATTTGAACCAACAACCTTCTGTTCACAGGCACAGTGGTTTACAGTCGCACAGTGGGGCACAGTTGCAAACTTTTGCAATTGATGATGAATATTTCTGCTCCTATGGGCATCATATTAAGCAACATTTACAAACAGACCCCCACCGCGCTGACATAAAAATGAGTGCGTTTCAGGAGCACATGCTCCGGCTCACCCGGCACAGGCGCGGGGGAGGGGTGCGTACCCGCAGGTACGCACTGGCATCCAGCTGCGTTCCATTCCCACCCAGGGTCACACGGGACATCAGGTTCGGAGCACCTGGTGGGTGGGGTCCACAAACACAGGATTACTGGGGGAGACTGGAGGCAGGGACCAATTTACCTAAATCTTTTGAATAATGATACTTTGTCATATATATATGGGGGCTTTTTTACAGGCCCAACTGTGCCATCAATTTGCCTAGCCCTGGTATTCGAACCGCTGGCCACGAGCACAGTGTCCAATCTCATAGAGCAGGGTTATTCAAATCACGGTCCTCGAGGTCCGAGCCCTGCTGGTTTTCCAGCCCTCCTTCACCTGTGAGCCAGGTGTGAAGCCTCTGACCAATCAGAATCAGTAATTATTCAACTAACTACCTGGGAGAACTGAAAACACGGCCTGGATTTGGAATCGAGGTCCAGATCTGAAGAGCCCTGGTATAGAGCCACAGGATGTTGGAGGGAAATAGAGTAACCAAGAGTAACCTGCACAAACATGGGATGAACATGCAAAATCCACACACACAGTGCTGGGGTTCAAACCAACAACCTTGGAAGCATGAGGCTAATCTGCTGCCCCTACAGTTTGGTTCTGGATACTGCAGCCGCTCTCTAGCCCACTCAGCTACGTCACACGACGGGCGATATTTTCCCAGTCCGGGGCGGGATGCGTCACTCACAAAGGTCGATGGCTGACCGCCGCCCTCCGGATTATCGAGTGCAGTGGTCTCTTCCCCTGACACTCGCACGCCGTGTGGTTGACGAACGTCACCATGATCACGGACCGCTCCATCCGCGGGGGGGACAGCTCCACCAGCTGGTCAAAAAGCGGAATGGATACCCACAATATTCTGCTGCTTTTATGATAAATACAGTAAACAGTAAGCTGATGAGCTGATTCGAATGAAAAAAAGTTTCAGAATGCGTATAATTGAATTAGGTGGGTAAATCTAATTACGTCTCTAGTGAGATAGAAACGGCATCCATTAGCTGTTGTATGATGATATACTTCTCCTGGGGACACCATCGGCATCATGGTGTCACCCATTTGCACCTTCTCCCAGAATGCACTGCAGCATTCGGAACATCACTCACGGTCTTGTTGATGAGGCTGTGGCTTGTGTTGCCGCAGTACAGGGCCTCGTGGTTGCAGCAGCCGCCACATCGGTGCACCGACACACACCTCGGCAGGTAGAAGTTGCTGGTGCTCTCGGGATTCTCCTTGGACACCTCCAGGCAGACCTCCCGAGGCCGGCACACGGTGCGCTGGATCTCCTGCATGATGACTGGGAGGGGTAGGGGAGGTTAGACAGAACGTTCCGGAAAATGCGAGGTGTGGAACAGTAAAGGTGCTCTAATACATAGATCTGACTGAAAACATGAAAATAATTTCAAACGTATCATTAATCAGGAGATTTTGCCGCAACAAACCACAAAAGATGCTGGGAAATTACATAATGAGTGTAAATCAGGAAAAAATGTCTATCAGTCATACTATCTGCGGCATGGACTCCCAAAGGCCACTATTTGTTCCACTTGGAGTCCATTATTGGGCCTGGCGTTGTTGATTCTGGAGAACTCCGCCTTAAGTTTGCAGTGGAAAATTGCATTTGTTGGTTTGGATGTCAAGGTCTTCAGGCTGATGCAAAACTGCTGTGTGTAACAAGGCCCTTTGTGTCCTGAAAACAGCCTGTTTCTATGTTGATGTCATTTGTTTAAATCAGTTTTGCCATTTTTTTTTGGTTTGGGGCAAAACGTAGAGAAACACCAAGAGCTAATTGTGCAGCTTGTTTTCCGTTTCCTCCACTTTTTAAGTGTTAACACATTTTATTAACTGTACATTTTCCAAAATATAGAGAAATGCTCCAGGACTAGAAGGGCAAGACTTCGCTGTAATGAAGTGGTATTTCATTTACTGTCTGAGGACAGAGAGAACTGAGAGATGTGAGAACATTTCAGCTGAAAGAGAAATAACTTTTTGTGTAAGTTAAAGCCTGTAAGTGAAACTTGATTTATTGAATGTGATAGCTGAATTAATCTACAATAGACTTATATTCATATTGCCAGAGAACCCAAGTTGGCTTGAAATTAGTGCCATGTAAAAATTGTTATTCTTGGTATTGTTTTTGAAAATAGGAAATAGGAGATGTGTAGCTGTAAGCAAATAAAGAGCAAATGTGAATCAAAACTAAATTTTACACCTTTGGAATCGTCCCTGTCTGCATGTACAGTGCAAATAGTGCTGGAATTAAACCCTTTTGGTAGAATAGACTGAACACAATGCTTCATTACACGCTTACTAATTATTTCATTTGTGAAAAGTACAGGCAGCCATGAGGACAGACCGCAAGCGCGAGATCGAGATACACCCCCCTCACCCTCGAAGGTCCCGTCGAACTTGTAGAGTGCCATCTCACGAGGATCTCCCCACATGTCGTCGGTGGCGGTGTGGCTGCGCCAGGGGGCGCCGTGCATCCGTCTGCGCAGACAGTCCTGCACCAGGCTGTACTCCGGGTACAGCATCTCCAGCAGCTCATCCAGGCTGGACGCCTGCGGCGGCTGCATGCGGGAGGGATGGAGAACCTCAGAGGGAGATCCACGGCCAGGAGAACCTCCGTCCTTAACAAACACGCGCGTGAAAGGATGGAACCCAGAGACGGAGGGTGACCGAGAGGACAGAGAACATCAGAGCAGGTTAGGTTAATGATGCACATTTTTTTTTGCAAAAGCAGGGTCAACCAGTCCCTGAAGCAACTGGGAGTCAAAGGTCTTGACGGTGACCTCACTCTGTCAACTGCGGGATTCGAACCAATGACCTTCTGATCACAGGCGCACATTGCCTGAACTGAAACATAATCCATAAATACAGGTCAATTTTATACTGGGTAGGGCAAAAGACTGATGGTCAAAACACCTCTAGTGCACCTGCCTAGATACTGATCAGGTGCCATAGTGACAAACTGTGTCTCTCACAGTGGATTTTTGGCATAAATCTGTGCCCTGGCCCAACTGAAACAGAATCCCATGTAATGTGTTGTTAGAAGGTGCTGCGGTCTGGTGTCAAATCAGTGGAAGTTATGTGGGTGATGATTCATAAAAGCCAAAAGATGAAGACAGATCTAATTATTTGAGCAATTATGTAGCTTGTAAAATGAGAGTTAGTATTGTTCTTGGTGTCTTGTCAAGACGTGTGTTAAAATGTATAGTTGTGGGTTTTGTTTTCATTTGATGCATCAGTAATAATTTACTTGACGGGGCACACATACTTATATATAATATAGTATGTTAATACTCATGTATTAATCACAAACTAAATCTATTACAAACTCATATTAATTCATCATTAATGAATCGTGATGCATGTTTTATCTCAGTGACTATATTTTTTACTGTATCAATTAATCCTGTAAACCTTTATGAGCTATTGAAGGAACTACTGAAGGAACAAGTTACGAATAACACACGGGAAATACACATCTCGTATTTGTTCATCATTGATGAATCGCGCCACATCTTTTCTCAAGTAGCGACTAGATTTGTTCATGATTTGTTCATGATTTGTTCATGATTTGTTCATGATTTGTACTTCAGTAGTAACTCAGTTATTACTAAGTATGTGTGCCCCATCAAGTAAAGTGTTTCCAATGCAGGAATAATTAGTGGAGAACGTGTGGCTGCAGTTGTACATTGCTGCCAATCGGATGTCATGCTCAGCTTAAATGAAATGAGGTCATAATTCTGATAGAATGAAGTCATCTCCCTGATGCCTGGCTTCTGATTGCTGTGAGAGAGTAACTCTGAGTATGTGTTATGCTTGGGGGGGGGCGCGGAGTGAATAAATAATCCTTGTGAACAGCTGTGGAATCTGTGAACTGATAAGCTCCGCATCGATTATCCACAGAGGAACTATTCTCTCAGTCGGGCGCGATAATTAGGCTTTTCTTTAAGATGAGCTCCATTGTATCACACGGATGAGTTAATAGTTCCTTTTTGCCTTTTGTGAACAACCTGTTGGATCGCTAATTTCTGCCAGCCGGCGCCTAGGCAACGGTTCACTGGATCTCACGCTCACCACCGACATGTGACAAGTCGGGGGGCTGTGAGGGGTGAGGCGTCAGGAACTGAAAAGGCTCAGCCCACATTTTCAATGAAGTATCGCTATCAGATCGTAAGGGCTGAAAATTAGCGTGACCACAACCGGAAACCTTGAGATTCCAGACTTGAGCGTGGAGAAAGAAGATTATATATGAATGGCGGGGAGAAGACAAAAGTGTCATTGTAGGCTTGCGCACCAATCAGCGCAGACGGCAACGCAGACGGGCTGAAATCTGCGTTCGGACGCAAACAAAGTCAGAGGAAATGTTTCTCACTTCTTACCTCGAAGGTCGGCTCGTCTGCGTGGGACCCATGAGTGAGATTCGAAACACCAAGAATCCATAAAGCTAAAGATAACATCCACATAGTGCACTGATGCCGGGAGGGGGGCAGGGGGGGGTGGATCAACAAAGCTGCCTGCTCGACTCTTTCATCCCAGGGCGCTGAATTCCTTCATCCCAGTGTGAGACGCCCCTCCTGTGAGCCGAGATAAGGGAACCCTCTGAGGCGAGCATCGGAGCTCAGCATTCTCGCTGAAGGGTCCTGGTCTCTCGCTGTCCCGCCGGGGCAGGCATGGTTTGTTACTCCCTGTGTCTTCCCGCCTCTGCTCCGCGAGAAATCAGCGCCGTTCAGAAGGGCGTCTGCAGACGGCGACGCTCCCGCTGGCTCTCCCTCAATGCTTTCCTCTGCAAGTCCGGACGGGAGCCGAGATGTAAAAGTTTCGTCTTGAGTGTAAAAGGGAAGGAATTCCGGGCAGACGGCTGCGGCGGCAATCTTGGCAAGTCGGGTCCGCTTCCCGCTCTCGGGCTTTCTTTTGGACGCGGCTGTCCGCTGTGAGACACGCATACACACTTACACACAGGCGAGCAGGAGAATAGACCTGGGAGGGGCCTTCTTCTGCGGGTGTGAAAGTACCAGGAAAGGGGGGGGGGGGCGTTTCAGGGCTACTGTGGCCACTTGTTTAATCCGCTTCATTTAAAAACACGTAAAAAGGCATTTTCCTCCAAAATGAAGGCCACTTTCCTCCAAAATGAAGACCACTTTCCTCCAAAATGAAGGCCACTTTCCTCCATGAAACATGTCATGGCGATAAAACCCTCTAGCCTCGTCTTCGCCCCTCCAATAATCCTTTCCCGGGAACTACATTCCCACTTCCCCCTTTCCGTTCCTTTTGCCCCAAGGCTGTTGCACGTCACTGTGTTTTCCTATTGAGTTCTTCTCCCTCCGCTCCACTTCCCAGTTTGAGGTGAATCTGCCGGAAAACCGTCTGCAAGAGCCTAAATCTCCGGGGAAGAGAATCGATTAGGCGACAGGATTCCGTTATGGCCTTCAAGAGAAAAATGAGATTCCAGGCAGAACAAGGGACTTGGGTAACAAATGTGGAGATGCATGGGTGTGTTTTTTAATCATTAATTATGTATTTATTTAATGTGTTTGCCCATGTAGCAGAAGCAGTGTATCCGTCAGCCCTGAAGGGGGGGCTCAGGCTTCTGAATCTTCCAATTGTTTTAATTTACAAGAATTCCTCCCCCCGGGGATCATAAACTTTGTCTTATCTTTCTTTCAGTAGCTGTAATAAAAACGCACATCCCTAGAAGCCTGGATATGCTGATGTAACCAGGCATTCCTCCCCGGTAACACTATTCTGCTATTAGATTATTGCTTCCCCTTCCAGAGAACATCAAAACAAAGTCGATCAGACACTCGAAGGGAAATGAAAGGCAGCGCTTCAGTGACATAAACAACTGGCAGCATGGCGGTTTATCCCCAGAGGTCATTTTACTTACAGTATTTGTGCAATTTCTGCTCTAAGGAGAAAGCTGACAGCAGACTGGCGAAGGTGAGGACCAAAGAGAACTTGGAGTCGATTCTGGGAGACGTAATCCTTATAGGAAGATGGAAGCATGAGCACAGAGCTGCAGGGCCAATACAAGCAGGGCTGCGGAGATACGTAGGTGCTCTTCCTGGGGGAGATGCTTAATTGTCGGTGATGAAGAAAGGGGACACCTTCAACCATTTGGGCATCCCCCACCCACAACGTGCCTGGTTAAAAGAGAGGGAAGACGTCTGCGTAAAAAGTAGCAGGACATGCTGAAAGAGGTGCACATTTAACATGCGTGAAACACATGTATTAGCATGTGACAAGCCCCTGTCGGCCAGGACAAGCTGCCACATGCCCTGCAGCACAGCAGAAGTCACACTGTATCCAGAGATTTAGGGAAGTGCCTCAAATCGGGAGAAGGACAGTGATCAGCTCGCTTCTGTATACATGCCCCTCTGTGTCCATCCATGTTTAGCGGGTATGGCACATTAGCGGTTAGCAGTCCGTGTTTAGCAGGTATGGCATGTTAGCGGTTAGCGGTCCGTGTTTAGTAGGTGTGGCACGTTAGCGGTTAGCAGTCCGTGTTTAGTAGGTGTGGCACGTTAGCGGTTAGCAGTCCGTGTCCAGTATTCAGACAGCCCGAGGGTAGAAACTCGTTCTGAGTCTCCCGTTGTTGGCCAGGATAGGATTTCACCTTGAGAATATACCATCTCACCTTGATGTTCCCTAAAGCACTGAAGCCCTGAAAAGATCACTGTTCATTATCACCCCCCCCACCTCCTAAATGTCACCGAAACAGCCGCTCTTTTACTTGGAAGTCCACCCCGAATGGCCAAACAAGAATAGAGGAAGTGAGGAGCTGGGCAGGTGGCAGCGTCTTTCTGTAAGCTACAGGAAACGACTCTGCGGTCCCACTGGCCTTCAAGCAAACCGACGAGCACCTTCTGTAGCTGTCACTCCAAACCTACAGGAAAATTAACCCCTACGGATGCAGGGAGCTGTGTTACTCTCAGCAGGGACCTCACTGCTTGTTTCTCACAGCTAGCTATAATTACGTACCGACATGGCAATTAAGCAGGAATGATCCTCAATGCCTGTTTGAAACTTGTAGATTTTTATACAGTAGCTTCTTATATTCACTTGACTTTCAGTCAGCTGTTAATTTGTGGCTGCAATTTTTAAGAGGAGAAAGATAATCACACGACGCCAGAAAATGCTGCCGGTGATGCTCGTGCAGGTCTGCGGCATTTTAACAATTTGTTCGTTTTTTTTTTCCGTTTCTGGCTGAAGCGGAGAGTAAAATCCTTGGGCTAAACCCAACGTCACAATGAGAGGTTTTCCCAGTGCACTGGCCCGGGATGGACATGAGGGGCTGCAAGGGCAAGAGGGATGCAGTCTGTGGGCAAGAGAAGCATCAGCCTGCCAAGATAACGCTAAGGCGTGCCAAGCCCCCCTGAGGACTCGGGGCTCAACAAAAACATCTCATGACATCACTGGCTTGTGACGCTCAAGTGCATAACAAGGACACGATGGCCGTTACTCCGTCCAGCCTCTTCAGACTCCACCAAACCTCAGACGATATTTACCATCCTGCTACTGTCAATTGTGTTTCTTTATCAATGTTTTATTGGTGGGATTTTGTTCACGCTGAAGCTGCTGCGGTGAGCAACCAAAATGCCTTCTTCTGCATAAAAAATTCTGCTTTAAGATGAATTTTGCTTGTAATCCTAGACTTAATGTGACTTGGTATTCCATCGGCCCCTGCCAGTCTTTTGTTTTTAGGTAACACACCTCCACCATTCAGACACTCCATTCTAGAAATAGAGCAGAATTGATGTCGTACCTTTAGCAACAAGGTAGGCTGTAACAGGACAAGGACAGGCCCAGCAGATAAGTAACCTAAGTAACTTAAATGGCTTGATGGATTGACTGCAGCTGTGGGTGATGATTATAGACTGAAGCTGTCTGGAGGTAGGTGTGGCTATGGAAGGTTATCTCACCTGCAGCGGGTAACTTGCGAAATGGATCCCGGACCGGATGGGACAATGTCAGACAGCCGTTTTCTCAAAAGCTCAATGCGTACGGCTAACCTGTCACAAAAATATGAATTCTTCCAAGAAGACATCTACTGTAAAAGTACAAGTGAATTATTTCCTGTGACACAGTGCAAGGGTTTGCAAGATCTATGACCTTAAAATGCTGGCAGCAATTACAATTATACATAATCCTTATTATAATCACTTATTTCTATACATCTCTAGGTGTTTAATATACCCACCCATGTGCCTTCAATGCCAATCTTCCAGAATGGGGTGCAACCATATTAATTTGCGTAAACACGTATATTTACTTTTAACATTAAAATTTGCAGCTGGCTTCATGATCAGTGAGGCGTCGATACAGGAGCCCGTCAGCTCAGACAGCTGGACTCCGAGTCGTATTCCTGAATGCTAAAGCTGTGCCGTTTGCCTGTAAGGAAACATACCAGCTGTCTGTTTGCGAAGGAAAATAAAAACAGGGCAAACAATACCATTCCAGAAGCTTCAGGACCTGCTATGGTTTGCATTATAGCCCAGTTACACTGTGCTTCATACTGCCCCCTAGAGTTATAACTAGGGATCTGCAGTTATAACAGTATTTGGCTCTACATAAAGTTTAATTTGCAAAGCATAAAATTGAAAAAAGAAAACAAGATGTGAGTTAAAAACCAAACTCCCAGGATCCGCACACAGCAACCTAATTTTAATACATTTTCACTGACAACTTGTTGACACGTGACCGTTACGTAAATTTGTTTCTCGTCTGCTGTAAGGCTGCTTCAGGTTTAGAAGACTGCTGTACTTTTTATATCTGGGGTGGTGTCATTCCTCTTTGGGGAACCCAAAGCTTCGCCAGAAAGCTGTAAAGAAGAAGTGCGTAAACACATATGTAAGGTGCAAAAAAACATTCGCCTGAAAGCAGACTGCCCATTTTTAGCCAGACGATTGAATTCGGACAAACCCAAGGGCTATTTACAGTGCAAGGTGTTGCAACAAGCAGTGCTGACCCCAATTCAATGAAATTCTCTAAAGTACAAAATTTTTGAAGCCACTTTATTTCTCAAATCTACAGTTACATCTTAACTCTCTCAAGTCTACAGTTTACAGAAATAACAACTTTTACAGTTTTACAATGCAGCCACAAATAAAAAAAATAAAGTTATGTTTTGAGTCTAGATGATAGATAGATAGATAGATAGATAGATAGATAGATAGATAGATAGATAGATAGACAGATAGATAGATAGATGAAAGAAACCCAAAGCCATGTCCTTTATTGACTGATTGGCTGATCGATAGATAACAGACAGAGAGAGAGTCTGATGCTACATTGATTCTAATGTGCAAAAAAAGAGGTGGCAAGAATATTCTGGAAAAATAGAAAACTACGTGACAAGTGGACATGGTTAGAGCAGGATGACAGCACTTCATAAAAGGTAAAGAATCAGAAACATTTTTTTTGTAACAGACAGCATATTCTCCCATCATGAGAACCATCTCCATTTATCATTAGCTGCTACTATACCACAATAAACCCCAACCCAAATATCTGGCATCTGTTTACTTGTTAGCAGGGGTGTTTAAAATGGGGTAAATATCCAAATGTGTTGGGAGTCTCAAGTCATAAATATACAAGATGTGTAACTGGAATTGTCACTCGGAAGCAATTATGACTTTGTTTTCTCGTGTGTTTCTCTGCGTCGCGAACCGGCCACCTTTTGCTTTCTGTCCGCTCTCATTCCCAAATAAAGCCTCATAGCTTCCTCCCTCCTGTGTCACATGACTCAAGTTTCACATGCTTCACGTGTCACAGGATTAATGTATCACATGATTTACATGACACATGCTTCGGGCATACTTCATGCCATTGACTTCATATCATTGTAACAACAAAGAACAAACAGGAAATGACAACAATGTCAATAACAATAATTCAACTGGAAAAAACACTATGTACAGAGAGATATAATGGAATGTCTGCAGTTCCAGTTCACTGAACAATAGGCAGTAAATTGTTTCCATATTTCATCAGAAAAGACATTAACGTAACAAATGGCAGTGAAATTTACTTTGTGCAATAGAGCATTTTGGTCTTTTTAGAAACTAAAAATCTGAAAGTGTTAATATGTAACAGGTGACCAGCGACCTCATGCTTGTGTAGGAGATGGTGTTTGGTGTTTTTTTTTCCTTTTTCAATCCAAGGTTTGAGAATTTCTACAAAGTGCGGCATGTCGTATTAATCGTGGGGACAGCTTGACCGCAGTGACGAGCAGAGACGCCATGACCTTATGGAACGCCGGCGAGGTGGAGCTCTCAGCAGAACTGGTAGTTGTTGGCTGTCATGAGAGGCTGATCTTCGTGTAGATGGTGACATGACTGGTCACTGGGATCCACGCAGCCCGCTGGACAGTCACATGACAAAGGCTGCTGGCCCAGCACAGCGTGCTGGTCATTCTGGTACATCGGCTGAGAAGGGAGATGATTAATTGGAATGTCAGTCTGCTCTTAACAAAACGATTCAGAATATCATCTCAGACCTTCATATCATGCCATTTTATATACTTAGCTTTTCTAAGTGACTCGCATCACGAACAGCAAATCTTGGTGATTAAATCAAAGTTCGCGGTGGATCCAGGTCTGTATGCTATTAATGCCTCCTGAGATGGAGTGCAGACTTTTAATTTTTCTACATATGAATCCATTAATTCTATGGGTGTATAAATGTACTTGCCTGCAGTGTCTGGTCATAGAGCAGCCCCTCGATCAGCTGGATGATGTCATGGAAGGTGGGCCGACTACCAGGGTCCATGTTCCAGCACATTTTTATAATCGTGTATCTGAGGGAAAGACCGATTTGGTATGAACTTAGGACATGACCTGTCTGGACGTCTCCCTAATCCACCTTACTAGTGTCTACAGAAGAGGGGGGGGGGGGTCATGGAAATGCCCTGCTGCGTTACCCCCCACTGCATGAGCAAAGCTCCTTACATCCTAACCACACATAGTACAAAGCTGTCTCACTTACATCTCCGAGGGGGCAAACTCTGGCTGGGTCATCTGGTAACCGTTTCTGATCTTCTCGTAGAATTTGGTGTCTACTGGAATTCCCGGATATGGGTTCATTCCTGAACAAAGGAAATAACATAGATATAACATAGATATAACATATTTATATAACATACATATTACACATACACCCTACACTGTTTATTACACATACACCCTACACTGTTTATTACACATACACCCTACACTGTTTATTACACATACACCCTACACTGTTTATTACACATACACCCTACACTGTTTATTACACATACACTCTACATTGTTTGTAACCTTGAGGGCGGCACTGTTGGTTAAGACTCTGTGATCCAAAAGTCACTGGTCCAATTCCCAGGACTGGCAGACTGAGAGGTGTGTATTTGTATGTGTGTGTATATATTTTTTTCCCTTGATACTTCACTCATCATATACAGGGGTGTAACAATGCACTAGGCATAATCTCAGTTTTGCTTTGAGATTTCTGTTTTTTTTTGCATTTTGCACTGGAGTGTGCAGAATAAGGACACAACTGCAAACAGCTTTTGCAAATATACACGCCTCGATAGGAATACATAGGAACTGGTTTCAGTCTTATTTTGTTCGATATACGGGTTAAATGCAGAGGACGCATTTCGTTGTTGTGTGCTGTGGTGATCACTAAATTCTAACTGTGTTTTATAATTACTCACATTAAAATTTTGTTTCATTCAGTTTTCAAAACGTAATATAATTTTTGAGTTATATATAATGCAGACACAGGTGACCGAAACCATTTCAAACCATTTTAAACTCCATTCTCTCGCTAACTAGTTGCGTCTGACTAGCCATCTCACCCAGTGAGAATATCTCCCAGAGCAGGACCCCGTAGGACCAGACGTCGCTCTGCACGGTGTACACGCAGTCAAAGATGCTCTCCGGTGCCATCCACTTAACAGGCAGGCGGGCCTGTGGAAATGAATAGCGGCTATTTATATTACAATGCACAATAGATACAATGCATAACCATAGAGTATCAAACAATAAGTAAAATATTTCTCCTGTTCCACTGACCATTAGACATAATTAAACATTAATCTGCTACCACTTTACAATAAGGCCCCCTTCTGCCACTTATAAATGGCAGTAACTCATTAATAAAAAGAAAACAGTGTTATAACTTGTTAAAAATTGTCTATTAATAATTTACAACGTGTTACAACCTAATTAATTAAGCAGATCATAAACCGTTCATGAACCCTTTATATGGGGAGACTTATTGTAATGTGGCGCCCAGCATTATAAGAATATTATGTCAGAAAGAGTGTTTCCAACTAAATTAATTAAACGCAGTTATTTAGAATGCACCTACAGTACTATTCCATACCAGCAAGTACCGATGTAAGGAAGGTGCCTTAGGGCAATGCTATGTGGCTAACTGAAGTATTGCTGGCTAATTTCACACTGTTGTAACACAATTCACGATCTACGATTTGTGTGTCGAGAGGTATATGAGAAACATTGTAACACTAACAGGCTNCTAACTGAAGTATTGCTGGCTAATTTCACACTGTTGTAACACAATTCACGATCTACGATTTGTGTGTCGAGAGGTATATGAGAAACATTGTAACAATATCAAGGTGTAATATGAAGTAGGTGGACAGGTGGCCCTTCTGCATTGTAACTTTGCTCATCACGGCGACGATGTCACGTGATTGGCAAGAAATTACATTGGGACTTTGTGGGAGCTTTTGGGAGTTTCGGGAAAGCCACAGACGACGTACGATGGCCAGCGGACAAACACAGAAAAAGTTTAGTAACTCATAAATGCTTAAAAGGTGCGCACAGTGCTAGCTTGGAGGACACCAATCATGTTACGGCAGCCTCTCGTGTGATATGTAAATATAAAGTAAATATCTTGCAATGATCTTTGTATCTTTTGTTTTTTGTGTTTTTTTCTTCACTTTTCCAGATCGTGGTGGGTCTGCGCCCCTAACCCCCGCCATGTGGAAGGGTCGACTGTATATTTGCGTATAGTGCACTGTTTCCTTACATTTCCTTTAATTACATAATTGGAGTCATTCATGATGTCCCGGGCCAGGCCAAAGTCACAGATCTTAGCCACCCGGGAGTCTGTCAGGAGCACGTTCCTCGCGGCCACGTCTCTGTGGATGCACTGGGGAAATGAGGGCGGGAGTAGCGGCCATTTTGGTTAGTCTACAGAGTGACCGGTAGAGCTCACAATGCATAGAGTCACTGTTACATCGTTTGCATAAATAACATCGAAGATAAGCAGAATGCACAGATGAGGTGCGGGCGACTTTCGTACATTTTTCAAAGCAAGGAACTCCAGTCCTTGGGCAACATGGTAGGAGAACCTCAGCAGGTCGTCCATGTCCAGCGGCCAGCTCTCCATATCGTCGTCGTCACACGAGGAACCTGGAAGGGCCGCAGGGGCGTGAGACTGCGGGCAAAGCACCATGGGAAGGTCCTGCTGAGCACTACTGCCTTGCTAAGGAATCACAAAGCTCCTTTACCCTGAGAAGATCCTGTTGACATCAATGTCGGCCTCTGATTATAACCAGAATGTAAGGAGCAGACTCCGCTGTCACTGATGAGATATGAGAGGGAAAAGGTATCTTTTTGATTAAACGTCACTCGGGTGACTCACTGCAGATGTTCACATAAGATATATTAAGTCTGCTGTATGACAGGTGTGACATCCATCCATCCATCCATTTTCTGTACCCTCTTGTCCTATCCCGGGTTGGGGGGGGGGGGGGGGGGGGGGG